AGAGGGCCGGGCAAAGGCAACTAAAATAACCATCTTAAGAAAGGCCTTGTTGTTTATTTTTAGGACAACTCAGGGAAAAGTGCCTTTTCAAATTATGCATAATCTAAACAGAGCAGATAACATTGCTCTCACATTATACAGCTTATGAATTTATGCACAGTATGGAGATATTCTCCTTTTTCTTAAAACTTGAGTTCACTGAATGAAGTTGCTTGGCATCTCAGGAACTGATCAAAAGGACAACACATATTCATACATCACACCTACTTTGGTGTCTTACAACCATTCATGTACAATAGTTTTAAGAGGAAGCCATGCAGGTATGAGTTTTAATAACTTTTATTTATTTATTTATTTATTTAAAACATTTCTATGCCACCCCCATCGCAACAAAGCCTCGAGGCAGCTCATAACTTTTCCATGGAAGATAGAATCTACTTTATGTCTCTGCTTCCTGAATGGGAAGAGAGCATTTTAATTGTGTGTGTTGCCACCTTCATGACCTACTAGTGATTATACAAGGGCGTATCTGTCTGCACATATTAGAAATGTAATACTGAACTAAATGAGTCTTGACTCTGATTTAGCAATAGCAATATAATGATTAGAATAATTCCTCACTTTTGGCTTTCATGTTTTCCAGAGTGCTTGACTGGAATCCCAAACTGCACTATGGACCAAAATGGTACTGATTTTTTTCTCTCTTCCCTTGATCTGTTGTCTTTAGGCTCAAGGGGCTTATCTGGCTTACACTTAAAAACAGCACACACTTAAGAGTGGTTCATGCCAATGCAACTACTACATCCTATTCTAGTCAAACACCAATGTTCAACCACTGCTAGCAACAGATGTAGATGTACTTCAAGTCTGGCTCCCTGTAGTCACAGAAGGCAAAATGGTGTCCAGTGCTGTCCAAATGACATGAATAATAGCTGTAACAACATTGATACCAAGATGAAGCTGTGAAGGCAGACAAATAGGACAAATATATATGATTGACATTTGCTTTGAAAAAAAATACAGCAACTAAGGCACAGGTGTAGTACAAGAAATACAGGACAACTAATGCAAAGGAACGGCTTAAAGGAAACAGGCAAATAATTCCATTTGTGAAATATACTTCTCAAATGGAAAATGATTAGGGTCCCAGATATCTCTTTCCCCCTCCCAAGAAAGGAAGGCAGGAAGGAAGAAATGCATCAGATAGACTTTCATAGACTGGAATAATTTATCTTAAAAAATCATGTAGAAAAAACAGCCAAATCTAAGCATTCTCTGGTCTCAGTGGTATGCAGAATCTAGCCCAGTTCTAATACATAAAAACCAAGGTAAGCTGTAATGATACTCTAGAATTCATCTTGGGTTTCAAATGCCCATTCTGTAATGACTCCCATTTCAATTTTGCAGTGACACCAATCTTCTATGAATAACCAACAAACAGCACTTTCCCCACAAGAATGTAAGAGCTGTTGCAGGGATTGAGAGATCAATAATGGGAACTGCATCTAAAGCTCCGGTTGTGGGATTCCACCACTGAAAACTTTGGAGTTGGTGGCATTGTTTCCCTCTTCTAAGAGCAAGGCTGAATGAAACTGGAAATGAATCTGGCTGATGTAATCTATCACAGCTCTCCAGACAGCCTTTAAAGAATAACAGAATTTCATTGAAGGACACAGTGTAAATTGGTGTACTGCTCAAGCAGCCACTAACCCAAATGCATCACTGAGTCAATAAAGCTGAGTGTACTGTTTGTACTAAAAATGAGAACAGGATGTATTTTGGAACATGGATTTATAATTTCCCCCACTGTTTTTCTTTAGGTTTTTTTTACATGTTAATTGTTGAATCAACTAGTGATGCCACTCTGAAGATTTCTGCTGCATCACATCTCTCAGCCAAATCCATGAAAAATATAGTAAACTGCAACAAATAGAACTTTTTTCCAAGGAAAAACTGGATGCAGTAGCTCATAGGCCCCAATTACTTACTTGGGAAGCAAAGTCCTACAGCATTTACTGAAGCTTACTTGTAAAGAATCATGCATATTGTTGGGCTGCATATTGTTATGACCGAAATCAGTGTGCTGAAGCAACAACCTGCTTCCTTGTCCTGTCAAACGCACAACAGTTAAGGGGGAATGGCACAAAGTTATCAGACATTCTGTAGTTACAAGTAGAGCTTTTATATAGCATTAGGAATTTCCTTTATGACAGAAATTGGACTGGGAGTGCCTAAGAAGAGCAAAACTTGGTAGCTTGTCTGGAATTCTCTAATTTGCAAGCATTCATGGCAGCACTGATTTATTATGAAATTACTACCATTTCCTAATGCAAATATTGGACATGTATTATCAAGACAGATTACGAGGAAGAATTTCTTCTGTATTCTGTCAACCAATATCAATAGATCAAGTACTCCAGAATCAGCAATTTGTCTGCATAAGGTGTATTCAGTAGGAATAAATCTTCTGCTATAGAAAGCAGTAACAAGCAGTCTTTTTCCAAATCAGGAATAGTACCTTCCCTCCCAAGATCAAATCCTACTTACTAGCTATCCCTTGGATTAATCTAAACATAGCAAAGTACAGTTTAGTCCCTCTCCCTTGCCTCTGCAATTATTGAATTTCCTATTAGAGACCCTGCTCTCTTTTATAAAAGTGCATGTGCTTTTTTTTCATCACAGACAAGCTGATTTGAGAAGAGTTCCATTGAATATCCACAACTTCGGTGAATGGGGCGGCATAGAAGCTCGCCAAATAAATAAATAAACTTAAGAGTTCTTAAATTCCTGTATTTTTTTTAACATATCCATGTAATTTGATTGTCTTTACTGAAATTTCAAAGTGTCTATACAATTTAAGTTATGGATATTGGTCTTGCCTGTAGGAAAAGGAATTTGCATGGGGGTTAATAAAAATGTCTCTGCCCTTTGAGTCCCCTGCTTACTTTTCTGTATGGTAGCATACAACTTAGTCTAGGTAAATGGAAGGTGATTGAGTGCCTTTTATATTCCCATGCATCTAGCATTGGAATGGGAAGGACATGACAATATAAAAAAGAGGCACAAGGACTTGTCATTATCCAGGCTGCTCTGGTACACAGCTTCTGTATGCACATATACAAATACAGAAGGTACAGATGAAAGGGTCAGGATATACACATGAGCACTGAATCTACAACCAAAGGATTATACTGTGCTATTACCAAACTAAACCATAAAATACACTATCAACTTTTCCATATGAAATCCATTTGCAGTGAACAGACAAAACTTGAATATCCCTTAAGAAATATGGACTTTATGGTTACCACCTACTACAGTAACTAATTGTCATATACAAGTGAAAGCCTCTCATGTATTTTGATAGGGCTCATGCAGAACTTTCCCAGATATTATATGCATTGTCATTTATTTGTATCATCCAGGTGAGCTATTCTACACCTGACAATTTGGTCAGGGTTTAATAAACTAAAACATTCCACTTCTGAGGTTTTACACTGAAATGGACACACAGTAGTCAGAAATAAAGACTGCTATAGGTTGGTGATGTATGTGTGTTTGTTTTTAAACTGCCTTTGCTCTTGACAATTAAAATGCCTTCCCCAGGGATATCATTAACCTTCATTAAATTCCTTACTGCCAGTATAAAAATTAATGCTTTACTAAGAGAAGGGACAAAGAGTCTTTCACAGTGGTACTTTACAATAAATTCTGTAGTTTGCTGAAAATGAGTCATTAAAAAGTGAAAAATTTAACAAGCTGATAATATGAATGCACACACAGGATATGCCACTGTTGATCAGATTGATGGCCCCTCCAAGTTAGTTTCTAAATTTTTATGATAGGCTCCATATGTAAAGCTTGACAGAAAAGAATAATGCATTCAGTCAACTGTGCAATAATGTGTACAAAGAAAAGAATCTTTACTGACCTCTATTAGCTCTCTATGATCTACTAAAGTGAAGGTAACAAGACATGTTGATCATCACTAATTTGAACAGTGCATATCCTTCATTCATACAATATTTACAGATGGTCATTACCAACTTTGTTTTCATTGTTCACGGAAACTCTTTTTCTCACATTCTACTCTGTCTTGTATGCATCTGAATCTAACTGAAACTTAAAAAAAAAGTCAGCTTTTTATTGCTGAGCACTACACATCAACAAGACAAATGTTCAGCCAGTTTTTTAAACAACTCTTACAATCAATAGTTAGGGCATTCTGGAGTACACTGACAGAATTATTGCTTAAACTTTTATCCAAAAAGGAGTTGTGCACCCAGCTGATCTAGCTTTTCACCCTCCACACTCAAGTGCCTAAACCTTTAGCTTTTTGTCAGGGTCTTTGCGCACTCATCCTGGTGCCACAGCACGGTGAATACAAGAACTCTGAAATGACAGATTATGAAAGGTCACAAAAAGGTACAAATCAGTAGCTCCCCAGAAGCAGCTTAGCTCTTCTATGAATTGGGTCAGTTTTAGTTTCCTGGAGGTTTGTTTGACAGTGGTTCCTAGCATCGTAGGTTCTGGTCTACAGGATACCACAGAGCCTTTATATTCCCTGCTCAAACTACAGCATTGTGTTTTTCTACCCATTAACCAAGGATAAATGACCTAGATATTGCGCCTATCAAAGCCTCATTTCTCTTTTACCCTTTTGTTCTTTAATGTACCACATTATCACATGCTGAACACATTTGAAAGTATTTCTAGTCTCACAAGCCCTTCTGAGAGAGCAATACAGGGTTTTGTGTGTCTTTCTGAAGCTTTAGCTAGAATGGAATAATACAAACATAATTCAGGGTTTTTCTTCTTGTCTATTTCTCAGAGACTACCAATTCAGTATATTTAAGAGAAAAGCTGGTAAAAAATGAAGTATAAAATATAGCAAAAAAAAGGGGGGGGGAGCAGCAAATGATGTATTTGCAAATACAAAAAATAAGCAGACCCCAGTTGTTATTCCCCTAATCACTATATTCTATAAATTAAATCTCTGCATATCATGAGTCACTTTTATTAAAAGCATCATTACTACAGTTGGCAGCAATTTACACCTTATCTTACATGATAGCAGTTTCCAAGGGAAAAAAAATAAAAAGACATCACAACAAGAAAAACAAATACATTTACAAAGTCATGTCTGTAAACTTCAAGGCTAGTTTAGAGTTGAGGTAATCTGTTTAGCTTGTGGCTAAAGTTAACAAAGTCCTTTAATTTAAAAAGGTACCTGATTTTAATTTTTTTTTTTTTGTTTTACCAGTGCATTATAAGATCATGAGACGATTTAACTGTAGTTTTATCCTGCAAGAACCTTTTCAGTGGGTAATTTCTAAAAGGTACTCTTCACATTCAACAGCTGCCTTATTATTGCTGTGTCTCAAGACAGAGAGACATTCACACTATCATGGAGATTGTCAGAGAATGTGTGTGTATGTGCACGAGTGAACCCCCATACAGTCAAAATGATGCGCAAGTATGATATGTATGCTAAATTTCATCTTGACCTTCACAGCAAAGAATAAAAATAAAAAATTAAATATATAACTTCATACTTCCTTTAAGCAGCACTTCCTTCTATTTAGTGCCACTCTATTACAAATTGCTGCTTTTATAATACCAATGGTACCAAAAGGAAAAAAAGAGCAGAGCATTATGTCAATTTCCTTAAAAAGACATGATCACCTCTCAATTTCATCTCTCCTAGGGATAATAAATAATGCACTGCACAATACTTAATGACCAAGATACCTTTTGACACATCTGTATAACATGACTTGAACTTTTTGTTTGCTACACTATGTTACAGAACAGCTTATAAAAACTAAGTATGGACATTAACTGTGAGTGTAAACAGTAGGACTACCACTTGTCAAAAGTTTAAAACACTTTAACAGTAACTGGTACTGCTTACTCATCATTTTCATTGTTTTCTATTTCATCCCCCCCATCAAGCGAGTCTAATTCTTCACCCTGTGCTATTTCATCTTCTAAAGCGGAGGAATCTGCAGTTTTATCAAGGCTCTCCTCTGCATCACTGCCGTCTAGATTTTCTTCATCTTTAAAGGCAGCTCCTTCAGTTTTATCAGTAACCTTCACTTCACTGGAGCCCACTGCATTCTGAAGTCCTGCTAATGCTGGGAAACCAGGTAGTGTCAATCCTCCCAGTCCTGGAGGTAGAAACATAGATGGGTAGAACAGGCCAGGAGCCATGGTTGACAGAAGGAAAGGATTGAAGGTCAGAGGGTTGGCAGGCAATCCAGTGTTGGTTGTGGTGGTGGCAGCGGCTGCAGTAGCAGTTGCACTGACAGATCCACAGGCAGAGTCAGTAGCAGAAATAGTGTCTGTGCTTTTCTCAGAGTCTTTGTTCTCCTCTTCATTCTTAGTCTTCTTTTCTTCTACTTTTGAAGTGCCATCTTCAGTTTCTCCTTGACTGGAAGCCATAGTGGTGTTTCCAGAAGCAGCTGTTATTGGGTTATTCAACAATCCACTTAGTCCAAACATGTTGGGCAACCCTGCCATACCTGGCAACATCAGAGGCAGCATGGCAGTTGGATTTTTAGAATCGCCTCCAGCAGCAGCAGCAGCAGCTGTCGCTAGTCCTGGAGGGAAGCCCATGAGACCTGCAAGCTGGAGAGACTGGAGGTTCTGTAAATTCTGAAGGCTTGTGAGATCCATTCCAGCAAACAGACTGTTCATTAGAAGTGGGTTAATTCCCGAAGTTGAAGCTACAGCAGCAGCAGCTGCAGCTGCTTTGGCAATTTCACTTTTTGGCCTTCTCCCTCTTCTGCTTGCTCCCTCTTCCCGCACAACAGGTCCTGTGAGAAGACGGTCAAACATAGATTCTGGAACAAAGCCCTGTAAAGGGAAGAGAGCAAATTCCATGTCTGTAGACTGAGCATTTCATGTTGGGTAGTCATGTGACACCTAAAAGAATGTAATACCAAAGACAAGGAGAACAACACATATTCTGTCAATTAGATTATGTTTAACACCATAGTTTCATCCACTATGTAACAAGGGCCAGGCACTGAACAAGCTAGCAATGCAAGACAACCCACCCCATGAGTAAGGTAGGCAGAGTGGGCTGGGCTGTTTGCAGAATAAGCCATGGTATGCCCAATTGAAAGCCAGTGTGGTGTACTCATTAAGAGTGTGGGACCGGGACTCAGAAGGTCTGGGTTCTAGTCCCCACTCAGCCATAGAGGTACCTGGGTGACTTTGGGCCAGTCACAGACTCTCAGCCCAACCTACCTCATAGGGTTGTTGTTGTGAGGATAGGGTTGAGAGGAGGAGGAAGAGGAGAATTATGTAAGCCACCTTGAGTTCCTTGTAAGAAAAGAAAGGTGGGAAATAAATAAAATAAATATATATTTTAATGGCTAATTCTTCTCTTCCTTGCTTCTTACAGCAGTTACCCCAGTGGAAAAGGTGAAAAGCACTGAGAAGTGTCAGTTCAAAATAAAATTGAAATGTCTACATTGCTAAAGGGAAGTTCTTAACCCTGTCCCCATTTTCTTCCTCTTTGCCAGTGCTTGTTTTAAAAAATTGACAGTTAGGCAACTGACAGCTGTCAGCTGTTCATGATTTAGCCTATATGGAATGACACTGCATCAAGCTGTTAGTGTTTGACAGCTAAAACTGACAAAGGCACTGACCAGGCAAGACAGTGTATATTAGAAAGTCATAAGGGTGCACTTGTGCAACTATGAAAGAGTGATATAAAATAAAATTTAAATTGAAGTCCTGTGTGCACATTTCCAGGGCCATTTAAAAAAGCGGGGGGGTGGAGAAGAGGAAGAGGCAAACCAGTGAAGTCTGCTACAAAATGCCCCTTGGGCATCAATAGAAAGGTTGTAACTGGGTACCATGGTGGAGCCATGGATAAGATTGCAAGAAGCAACAAGAGGGCTTTACTACTCTCCCCATAGCCAACAATGGTGTCCCCCCCCCCCCCCCCCCCGCTAAGTTCAGTGACATGACAACCTATTGTGGATTACACAATCCTTAGCACAAATCATGGTTTGTCAGGGTGGCTTGTTATTCCAAACAATTGCAGGAACTTGCTGTTGGAAGTGGTGGCTAGTTAACTATGAAAATGTTAAGACCTGGAAAATGGCTGGAAAGATGGGCAGCTGGGGACAGCTGGCTGGTGGGATGGGCGGGGGGAAGCTCTTAAAAAGTAAAAAGGAGAAGGGGGTGTTTCTGAACTCTCCCTCCATTAACTTCACATCTCTAGTTACCCACAATGGTTTGCCATGTCATGTGAACCCAATGAATACATTTCTAACCATTTCTCAGGTATGTCTTACATTAAACTCCTCCAACACTGAAGTTCCTTAAACTGTGAATTAGCAGAGGTATCCCATGTGTCAGGCTATTACTTTTATATTAAGAAATACAAGCACACAAACAAAACAGCTGTAAGGAACACATAGAAACATAAGGAAATGCTCACAAGTCAATCCTTCCAAAGAAATATACCAGTAAAATGCCCTCTTTGGCTAGTGTGGAAGGTATACAAAAGCTTTAATAAATAAAATATAGTATTATGCAAGTCTTTCTCTGAGAACTGCCAGGTTTGTTGGGTTTTCAGAAAACACAATTGTCTGCACACATGCCTGAAATTTGAGAAAGGCAGTAAAGCCTCCCAGAATTTGAAAACAGCCCACCTCTGATTGCTTTCTTGAACAAGATCTATTTACCAGTGTGGAAAGTTTTAGTCTACAATCAGTTTTGCATGTGTTAATCATTTAAAACACACACCCATGAAACACAAAAAATTTCACCCACTTGGTTCTCACTAGATAATAATCTCAGCATGAAATAACTGTTCTTCCTTCTCTAAGTTTTGAAAATGTTCAGACCACAAATGTTTTAACTCCTCTTCCAGTTAAGAAACAAAAAACCTAGCCAGAAATACAAACTCTACTTACAGACTGTTTAACTATGTCGGTCCAGTCTGGAGCAACAGCAAATTCAGGATTTTCTTCCAGCCATCTTGGCAGGTCCTTCATTGGTGGGGCCATAGCTCCACCCATCTAATAAAATATATTAAATTTCATTAAATAAAAGAAAACTTGCTAGCATGTATTTCATATCCAGTTAATCTAAAGTATCTGATTATTGATCAGAGAATGCAGTACTGGTAATCAAAATATGGCCCATAACATTCAAGTCAGCCATTAGTGATGCATCAAGTACAAAAAACACTTGCATTTGTTAAATATTTTAGGAATCTTGCACCTCAAAATCCAGAATGGCGCACAATTAGAAGGGCCCAACTACCATGGATGCAGGCAATGGAGAATTACAGAATGCCAAACAGATAGTTGTCCAGTCTCTGATCGCAAGACCTTCAGTGAAGGACAGTCTATCACCCTTTGATTCCATATAGATACTCTGAAAGGACTGCTACAAAAGTCAGTGGAAATTATAGGCCTCCCAGGTTCCAGAAAATGCACCTTATTCAAATGTAATTGCTACCAGAAACAGCAATCAGTAATGGGGTGGGGGGGGAGAGAAAGAGAACGGACCCCTAGTCACAGCATTACCTTCTTGCCATTTCGCTTATTCACAACAGGAACCCTTTCTTCTCCAGTTAAGGTGTTTATATCCAGTTTATTAGGATTTCGACATCTGTGCCGTTTCTGCTTCGGCTTCTGAAATGGGGAAAACAGCACATCTGCACTCTTCTAAGAAAAGAGGAAAAGTATAATGTGCGACTTTGCAGATTATTATCTTGTCTATAAGAATAGCTGATCAGCCCAAGGAAGCACTTTTATTTTTTTTTAAATACATGTTTATATTCAAGAATGGATTTTAGTCTGAACAATAATTAGCACATTTATATAATAAACAACCTTCATTTTTAGCTTTCATTATAAAGGCATAATCTTACAAATGAAAACACATTTTTTCAGGTGGAGGCTTTAAAATACATAAAAGCACTTCACATTAAAATTAAATTTCTAACATCTTCATGAATAGAGATACTTCTTACTAATATTATAGCAGAGTGGTAAAAGTAGTATTTTTGAAGAAACTAACAGTTTTGGAAATCCAGTTTAGTGAAAACAGTCAAAATTTGGTTTCAAAAATATTTCCATGATTAACACCCACTTACTGGTACATAACTTGGCATATCAACAGTGTATGTAGGATGCAATTTAAGCCATTCAACTAAATCCTTGCTTTTAGGAGCCTCCTCTCCCACCAGCCTGGTCCCATCCTCCATATTAATGACGGAGATGTGAGTGTCAGGATCCAGTTGTCCAGGAGATGGAATGTTTCTCGGTGGGAGGGTCTCAATTTCTTCATCAAATACTTTGGTCACTTCTGCATCCTCCTATAAAAAGTTGACAAATGGAACAACTTTCAAAAGAAGGTGATACAGCAGAAGTTATTTATAAATACATACTGCTTAAAACTGGATTACCTCCATGTAGCAATTAAATTTGGGGTTAGGAATTTTTTTTAGCAAGAGAGAAGTATTACATTTCTGAGAAGCTCTTGGAGGCCACATTCCAGTGGTGGATGGCCAAAACTGCAGAAGATACTGACTCTGTAGCTAAACGAACTAATGAGTAAACTAATCCTAAGAAAAGGTATTTCAGGTTTTTAGAATGGGGAAAACAAGAAAAGCTGGTGCTTAAGAAAAAAGGGGATTCAGCCATCTGTGAATCATTGGCGTGACAGATTGGAGCCCTGGGTCTGAGGTTATGCACCCCCACTTTAGCTTATTATTGATGTAAGCAACATCCATCTTTGTATTTACCTATTTATCTAGGATTATGACAAGAATTTTGGTTTTTAAATTTTAGCACCTTTGTATCAACAGCATACTATTCTCTATGTTTCACAGTGATTTGGATCCAAACATAATTTGAGCAGACCCATTGAATTCAATGGGATTTAAGTTAGTGTTAGTAATGAGCAACTTAAGTTCCCATAGCTTCAGTGGTCTACTCTACATATGTAAGCTTGGATCCAAATTAGGTTAATTTCCTATATTTACAAATGCTCAAACCCTACACAAAGATTATATGACACTAAAATTTGATATTTTACTCATTATATTCTCTAGTTTGAGGAGAACCAAATTTGCAGAGATAAGGGTATTCAGTATTTATTAGTTTTTATAGCACAACATGGCGTAGTGGTGAAGAGCATGGGACTGGGACTCAGACGATCCGGGTTCGAGTCCCCACTCAGCCACGGAGCCAACTGGGTGACTTTGGGCCAGTCACGGACTCTCAGCCCAGCCTACCTCACAGGGTTGTTGTTGTGGGGATAAGATGGAGGAGCAGATATAAGCTGCCTTGAGCCCTTTGTAGGAAAAAGGCAGGATATAAATCAAAAAATTAAAATTAAATCAAAATTTGTTTTCTTGCTATTTTCCTTGCAACAACCCTTTTTAAGGTTGGTTATTATTATTTATATGATACTGTTTGAAGATGTCCTTGAGAAATAATGGCTTAGAAAAAGCCACCTAGCAAATTCATGGCAAAGACATGATTTAAACTGCAGATTTCCTTAGGCATTCTATCACACCAACTCAAAATACTCCAATAGTCCACATGAGGAAAAAGCTAAACTATAACCTCTCTTCCATAGCTATTTTTGCTCTGTAGAGGAAAGTGAAAGAAAACTTTTATTTAGCTATTTTAAGGTTCTTAACTAAGATGTTTATATGACTAATATGATGTCAGATTATGAACAGAAAACTAAAAATACAAAATAAAATACTCTGGAATTAAAATGACATTTTTGTTGCTGAGCCTCATGTAACATATAATAAAGAATTAACAACAAAGAAAAAACTTCTTTCTTACTGCTGTCACTGATGCTCGCTTGTTGCTCATAAATAACAGATCAAGCCCTTCTACATTTTTCCTTCTTCCTCTCCTTCTTTTCATAGGTGGTTCTACATCAATTAAAGAACCATTTAGCAGATGCCTTGTGGGTGTGCGTGAAAGACCTGCTTGTAGCAGCTCCATCTGAGTTTTAAAGGCATCAGACACTGGTGTGGAAACATTAGGTAATAGAAACTTCGAAGAAACAGCTGAAAAAGTTGAGGTAGAACTTGTTGCCTCTTGTGAGGCTTTTGATAAGTCTACAATTTTTTCTTGTCCATTTTCTGAGACAACTTGTGACTCTCGCAACTGGGCAACCATTTCCATGAGATTTCTCCTCTTGGCTGCCCTTTCAGCCTCAATTTCTATCTTTCTCCTCCTCCTCCTCCGTTGGCGTGGAACTGATAAATTGAGTGCATCTTCCTAATGAAAAATGAACAAAATCATTATGAGCAATGTAATAACCTTACTATTTTGCATGGCTTTTGCCTGGCTTCAACTGTATATACATTTTAAACTATGAAAGAAACTTATGAATTGCAGAAACCAAACTAGATACATGTTGTCAGACTACTGCTACTTGCTACAGTGAAAGTTATTGGTTTTACTCTAACAATGATGATAACATTTCAGATTTTAATGGAATTTGTTTTTTCTTCTGAGAAGTTGCATTTACATCTATGCATGCTTCTTCTATTGCCCTTTTAACCCTTTCAGCCCTGGTTTTATTTCTTTAAAAATGAATATGTACAAATATGTGTTCCCGCATACAAAACATGCCTTGGATAACTGAGGAGAAACTGTGATATCTTCATTGCCACTGATGCTGGCTTGACCAACCATGGAGAGCTCTGCAAAGCTTCTTTTCTGTAAAGGGCTGTCCACAGCTGTTGGTGTATACCCTGGTATAAGTCCCTGGAAATCAAACATCTGGCGTCTATTTACTGGCCACTTCCCTTTCAACACTGCTTCACAGATGTTGTCTAATCGGTTGATCATTACTCGATCCTGCAGAAAAGAAAATACATAGCTGTAGAAACTTCCTGAGAGCAGGCTCCATGCAGGCACAGAGCCCATATCAATGATGCACAGAGATCACAAAGATGAACAGGTCCTATTTGGAAGAAAATTAGTTAACTTGAAAACAGATCTCATGCAAAGAAATGCAGAAAAATAGACACATGTCATTTACATTATTGAAAATTATGAGGAACTTGGGAGCTTTTACAGCCAAAACACAGAAACCACCTGACACACATTTTCTAAACCCTCACTGTTGCTTATTTATACAAATAGAATGATCATTCTTGTATCTCAGAATCTTAGCCTTCACTATGTCAGAGCCAACAAGCTGCAATTCTGTCCCAGGAAGTGGTTCCTCATTAGTGTCACTATTAATAAAGTTCAATGCTATGAAATGGGCACCAACCTAGGGACATCTAATAAATGTCAATTCTAATTCCACACCCATTATCACTCCCGGTTTCACCGAAGCATGCACATTAAAAAATTCTAATTACAGTTTAGCCCACTTAGAATAGATGCAAACACAAACCATTTTCTACTTCACAGAAAAATGCCTTAAAACATAATCAAATAAAAGAATCAGTATGATTCATTTTTTATTCTAATAGTTAATAATGTTGCATAATTTCCCCAGAAGTATTTGCTTGACATCCATTCTTTTACTATTTCCATGCCATGAAGAAATATTTTCCTAAGTTTTTGATTAATGACATTAAAAATAATCTGATGATTATTCTATTTATCTGTTGTTTTATTAAATGCTTCACATATTGTTACACTGTATTGATCTTACTTAGTCTACATTGATTGAAACTGACTTGGATATTCCTCTGTAGAAAATAGGATAAAAATATTTTAAACATATAAAATGTATCAAAACAAATATCAACTTTTGAAGATTAGCCATTGATTATTGAAGAGATCAACCTTCATCTCCCTGAACTATGGAACAGTATAAAAGCCACTGGCAGATCCCAGCAGCTGGAGTTGGCTGCTTGCTTTCCCCAGGAATAAGCCTATTACAGCAAGGGTTATTTTTTCCCCTAAACCAGATGGCCCTGTTATGGTGATTAGGAAGCTTAAGACTATTACTACTTTATTTCTCTCTAGCACCCTTTGAAACCAGGAACTGAGCTGCATATAGAATGAGTGTGATATCACTGCTGCACAGTTCTAGCTACTTTGTTCATTAAAATATTTTTAAATGGTAGCCAAAAATAAAAGCTACAGCATTACTTGTTGTTTAGTAGAACATGTATCTAGAATCTGTCTACACTAAAACTGGTCTGGTACAGGTCAGCAGTATCCCTTTATTTTACTTCCTTCAGACACAAAAAAGTAGCTCTCTGAATCTTGGGATACATATGATGACCACTTTTATTTCCACAAATACCACAAGGCTAACCTTATTTTTCCATTGGTTGGTTTTACAATTTTGTGGGGAGGAGCTACACACTCCCTAAAGCAAAAGGCTATAGCTCACTGTATCTCAAACTTTTTGAACTTGGGTCTTTCCCCCTTTGATTTTGCCTCTAAAATAAGACCCAGACCCAAAGAGCTGCCTGAAGAACTCTTCACATATATGGAGGCTTCCAAAGATGTCCCTTCTCTTTTGCAGCTCCTTCCCAAACCTGCTTTAGAAAGCTGGGAAAGTTTGTGGTTCTTAATAGCTTGCTCTGAATGAGGCAGCACACAGCTGCGACTATTGGTTCAGTGGCACCAGAGATGAAGGAAAGGCTGCCATAGTGAAATGGACGTAGCAACAGAGCAAGATCTAGAATAGGCAAAGGTATTTTGTCCTCCCTCTACTGGTACCAAGCATGAAAAGTTGGTATGGCCCTGTGGCCCTAGTGGGCCACTTAACTGATTGAATACACTTAGTTAAGCTTGGCAATCCATACACCCTTTGAGGATCAGTCAGGCTTCCTCAAGGAGGAAGCCTGACAGTTTGAGAAACACTATTTAGGGCATGAAGCACTTCAGTCTTCAAAAGTGGTTAACATGAAATGGTAGAAATCACTTTGTATTGAACCAACCTTAGGCCAAAAAGAAAAGGCAAATGTTCTTTCATGGAGCAACTGGGCTACTGATGGATCTCCATCTTCCATATAAAATCCATCACGTGTTTCATCCCTTGCAGTGCTCAGGGATGCATTGCTTTCTTCATCAAAATTTTTACCCTGAGAAATTGTTCCTGCTGAAAATATTAACCAATAAGAATTAGCCACAAAAGTAAGGAACTCATGATTATTAGATTGCAATTTTGATCTGACAGACATTTTTTTAACATGGAATTTTCTGTACCATCACAGGGACTCACTATTCACTCAAATGAATACTGTACTCTTTTTCATTCTGGAGGTGCAGATTAATACAGTAATTGAACTGTTAGTACATTTATAAACAAACCAAGTAATTTCATAGTATGATTGCACATTCAATTTTCTAAGGTAGCTATAAGTGTTTGGGGCAGATCATAATACCTTTTAGAGTCTGTGTGTTCTACTTTTATTACAATGGTAAGTTAAGGGAAGTTACAATTTGTCAATCAGCTCAGGATGAATTCAGACAGTTTATATTGCACTGTAGAGATCCCTGGTCTGTTAGAATCTAGCCTGTAACAGTGGTTTTCAATCAGACTTTCCTAGCAAACTTTTGCCTACCAGTATTGATCTGCTCTTACAATGTATAATATTCTCACAGAACAATGGGAAGAGCAAACAAAACTTGCCAGTGCTCCTAGAATCTTCAGCAACGTAGAAATTCTTCAGCGGACAAGTCAACATGTGAAGAGTTCTTACAATTGCACATTACACAAAAGTTTGAATAGGATTAAATTTAAAGTGGATCTCAATATTGTCTGTCAGGAAAATTGCATATTGACTTACCAAATAAAGTCAATATTAATCTTACAAAGATATTTACTATACCATATAAAATATAATGCATGAGAGAAACTAATATAATACAGATAAAAACCCCCTCACATTACTCTTAGTTGATTACCTTCAGGTTGGGAAGATTCTTCTGATTTGTCATCATCATCAAGTTTTTCTTCTTCTTCATCATCTGAACCTTTTTCAGAAATAGATTTTGGATCTACTTCTGTACTCAATTCTATGTCTTTTATTTCACATTTAACAGAAACAGACTCAGCTTCAACATCACATTCCTCCTTATCACTTTTCACTGCCACATCTGTTGCTTCTTCCTCCTCTTTACTGCCAGGCTTTTCTTTGGCTGATGATTTCTCAGGTCCTTCTAATTTAACTTCAGCTTGCTCTAAAGATTTTTCCTCTTGAGCTGGTGTTGATGGGATAATAGAGGTTGTCTGACTGCAGCAAATACCCAGTGGATTTAATAAAGATATAGTATTCAGATTACCTCCACCTCTGTTTTGAGCAAAGTTTTTGTGAGAATCAAGAAAGGAAAGTTCAGGGTCATTCAGGATATGATAATCTGTCCTGCTGACACCATGTTTAGCAGCGCCAATCAGCAAATCTTTATCATGCTTGCCACATTCCCACCACTCTGGCAAATCCAAACTTGGCTGGCACAGCTTTAGCCTCTCCACCAGTTGTGGGTGATGGAGAACCTGCTCTCGGACTTTCCGCAAGAGCTCTATGCGATACAAAGTTCGAGAAGCCCGTTCCTCAGTTATTGGTTCAATCACTGTGGAAAGATCAGGGGGTTCTGTAAGAAAAGCAATGAATACATAACTATTAGGAAGGTTTTACAATTACCATATTTTACTACATAAAAATGTTATCCAAAGCTGCCTGATTTTTAAATGTAAATATGATTACTTTTTGAAATCAAAAGTTTGGATACATTTAGGAAACTTACTATGGGTTGATGTATCAAATTGAAAGTCAAAATCATCAAAAGAAAAAAGCTTAGAATTCAGCAAAAGAAAAAGGTATCAAAAAAGTACAAGGCCAAGAGCTATGCTGGCAGGAAGCGATGCTGCAGAGAAGGAAATGGGCAATACTATCGCAGTGTCAGTTAACAATAGCTCCATGCAGGCATTTAGTCCAGTCATGTGTAGGCTAAAAAGATGAGGGAAAACACACAAGCCATGCCTCTGGCATTGCCATATGAATTGGCCCCATCCTTGCTGTCCCTAAACTTGCCACTGAAGATGAGTAGAACAGTCTGCATGATCCTGAACTTGCAAGCTTTCTGCATGTGAAGGGTGTCAATGGATGCACATGTATGCAAATTAGGAAGAAGGGTGTGTGAAAGGGCAACAGAGAAGATGAAAGTAGAATTTTGAATACAACATCCCCTTTTGTACTTATCAGGTATCAATATCTTAATATCGTACGCTCATTTTACTAGATGAATGGCTATAAATGAACCTACCTTCATCTGATTTGGCTGGCATTCGGCACACTCGCCTGCACATAGCTACAAAACAAATGAAGTACTTCTCCAAACTTTCATCAGACTTCTTATCGAGTCTTGCAAAGGCTCTGAACTGGTTCCAGTCAAACTGTTGCTTTATAGGGTCAAAAATGACCCCAAAAGTAGATACAACACGATAAAAATCTGCTTCTTCTCTTCTTGTCCATCTGGAAAAAGGAAAAAAATCAGCATGTCAGAACACTTCTAAGAGTTTTCACTCTAATCTGATACCAGGTTCTATTTGGAATAAGAATAGTCATGTTGCAAGCAGATACTCATTTCTAGGAGAAAGAAACCTGAAGAAACTCACTTTTGACGCTTTTCTGTTATTATAGCTTCTCTTTCAGCCTCTAATGCTCTAACTTCTTCACGAGGTCGGCGCCGGCGCCGGTCAGTCTTCATTAGTGCCTCTTGCCTCATTTGTTGCCTTTTATAACTACGTTGATAGGCAGTAATGAGGCGACGTAAACGTGTGGTCAGGGTTGAAGTGTTAGGCCAGTAGAGTTGGCCAAAATCAGCATTGCTTTCACTGTGCTTGCCTACAGAATATTACCAAGAATTATATTAAGCATTTATAACTAATGGTAATTCACCATGTATGAAAAGAAAGTGGCCTTAGAAATTCTCAATACAAATTAGTATAACAATCAGGAAAGATCTTTCTTAATGCTAGAGGAATTCTCAAAGATATGAACTCCACTGTAATAAGCAACAATTTCATCAACAATTTGATGGTAGCACTCAACTATACTACAGAATATGGATTAAAATGGCCATACCATATAAACATTATGTTCATCGGTTTTGCTAATATGGATTTTCTACCACCATGCTAAATTCACAGACACATTTCTACTTTCTCTAAAATCATTGGGGCTTGTGCAGTAGGTTTCCCTATTTAAGCAGACTGAACAAGACATCTACAAAGTAGAAACATAGAACAGTAGTATTGGAAAGGGTCCATAAGGGCATTGGGTCCATCTCCTTGCTCAATGCAGTACTCCAAGTAAAAATATTTAAAAGTAGCAAATCATTATTAGAAGAGATACAAAGCTATCAAAAATGTTTAACATTTCAAATCTTAAACTTGAAAACAAGTGCATCTTAATATACTGCTATCAACAGTGTACTGCATTTGCATTATTAAAATTCTTTTCTTTCCCTTCTTCTCCCAACTTTAATGAAAACTTACTTGTGTGGAGCTCTATGGATTCTTCCTTGTCAGAAGGGGAGTTTGCAAATTCCTTTGGAAAAATAAGAGTTACTTCAATGTTTATATTCTGAATAATTGAGCTTTAAGAAAGGAAGTGACCTTCCAAAAAGTGAACAACATTGTGTTACCAGATAACCTTCCCTATTCACATGAGATAATGCATAATGCATTAATAATTTAAATAAGATATTTAAATATTGCACATCAATAAAAGTTATATATTAGATGTCAAGACTCTTACATCAATTTCATCCTTGAATGGTGTCCTGGTTGGTTTATATTCTGGATCTTCATCCTCTCTGTCAAAATCACCTCTACATGACATCACAGGGAAAAAAAAACTATAAGAGTTAAAGCAGAAATCTGCCCCAGTTTTGAGAGGGACAATGGTAAAGCCCCACCACACAAATAAAAGCCTCCATATTCCTTTTAGTGCTAGTTATTTATCCATAAACATTCATTCTAAACTAAATTTCAATTGCTTTACCACAAATATTAGCTTGAAATTTTGTTACAAAAAAGAGATTCCTCAAATGTGATGCAGCAGGTCACACCAGACCAGCATATATGATAATGTCATGAAGTTTATTAATTTTGTATAATATCTTTCTTACCCATCACCACCATCTGGTAATATATCTGTCCCTCTCTGCTCAGCAGCTATGGCCTTGGCATCAGGCATACCAACACGTTCCAGAAAACACAAAGTAGAATCTGCTCTCATTGAATTGTACTTCTCATAGCCTGCACCCAGATATAAATAAATAAGTAAATGCATGCATATCACAAGCATCTAAGTATAAGCAAAAATGATTTGATAACAATTATACTGATATAGAACTAATTAGACAACACTTTCAGCTATTTAAGTAACACAGGAGAATGTGTCATACATCTGTGACAAAGGGAGTGATACTGAAGATTCCTCAGGAGTGCACAAGCGGGTGAGCAAGAAAGAAAGAAAGGTGACTCTATGGAGAAACAACCATGGTTAAGACATACAAATGAGTCTTACTAGTTACCCTTTGACCTCTGTGTGTGAACACCCCCTGACCCACTTTCCTTTTAAGTACTATTGACGATATCAAAACTAGCACTTTAAGTGAGAAATGCATATGTGGACAAATACATAAAGCCAGAGGACCTGCCTTATTTGGTTTAGGATGCTGCATGTCAATAAGACAACACTATTCCCTCTGTGGTTTTCCAACTGTTGTTTGCTTTTTCTTATTGCCCAAGTTGACTAGATGGAAAATGGCAGATCCCAACAGTGCACGGCAGGAAAATGATTTTTAGACTAGACTTGCCTCAGCTGAGCCCACAGAACAGAACAGAACTGTGGTACATAGGCAGAGCAGCACAATTCAATTAGGATATGTACTACAACACACTGTCCTTAACTGCTGTAGAGCCTCAAGCCAAACTGTAATCATGAAAGGTTTCATAAGCCATCATTCTCCCCTTTAGTCAGGCTGGGCTGCTGAGAATACCTCTGCAACCTCCAGAGAATTGGGATTATAATCAGGAATTGCTCACTGTATATATCATGCCAGCTCTGCATCCACAGCCTTTCAAAGTTAACAAGGCTGCATCCCACTCAAGGGAGCCGGGAGTTCTCAGCACTGACATTTGTGAAATATTGCTTGGAACAAAGCCCAGGAGGCACTTGTACAGATTAATAGCAGAGGTTAAGCCCACCGTCCACTTTGACACTGCCTGGCAGAGTTAGCAAGTGAAACAGTGCTGGAAGCAGTTTATGGAGATCTATAATACTACTTGGCTATTATTTAAACAAATATGGTTTTGTGCTATTTACCGCCAAGAAAGTAATGTTTTCTTTTGAAATGTTCTGCAAACATTTAAAAACAGCATCTGATATTTACAACTCAAATAGGTTTTTTTAATGTGGAAGGAAAAAAGAGAGAGAGAAGCCAACGATCTTTTGGAACTGTACTTGCTAATATTATGACTGAATATTGGTATACACAAAAAGCTTTACCAAGGAGTTCTGTTCAAAGGGAAGCATCACTTACCATGCTTGAAAACGCCTATTAAAAGGGACTTATCTGCTTCCTTGTCCCACCAGTCTGTAGGAACTTCAGCATGAAATGGTTCAGGAATCCAAATATCAACCTCACTATAAAAAGTTACATATTTAGAAATGCAGTTGATGATTAAGTATTACATTTAAGTATATTCATGCTAAACGTTAGAAGGACAAACTGTGTATAATTAAAATTACACAAGAAACTGATATGCCTGAGTAAGGAACAGAAACAGTAGAGCTGTTCAAGTGATTAGCACACTTTCCACATTCTTTCCATTTTTATATTAAATATCAGAATTCAGCCACAACAGTTAATATTGGATTCATCCACCTAGATATACCCACACTCACCAAAAACTCAAAAGCTTCAAAAGTGATTTAATAAAATGGCATGAACAGATATTCAGTGCAAAGTCTTTAAATTCCTCTAATTAAAAATATACACTCACAGATTATAGTGAGCATAAAACAACAAATAAGCCTGAATTCGTACTAACCTTGAGTCAGCACCCTCTAAGATCTTGTCAGCTTGGTCCCCTATAACTTCTTGCCTCAGATAGTACAGCATGCGGACACGCAGCAGGACCCTGGAGAGGAAACAGAGAGGGGGGGGGAAAGTTCTTAACTTCAGGACTGTTTGCCAACAGTGGCTTTTGGCAGCTGCTGCTGTTCATCCATCATCCTGCCAAGGCTGATTAGCCATGCTGTATGGTAGGCTTGAAGCGTGACAGATGGTGGCACATAATCACCTCTGTGTGGTGCTTTCTGCTGGCTTCCAACAGGCCTGCCTGGCAACCACTTAGACTGCACAGAGAGGGATCGAGCTCAGCCCAACCCAGGCGCATTTCATTTAGTTCTACCTAGTGCAGCTTGTGAAGTTTAGACACGTACTCTACCACTGCCTCTGAAGTATTGAAGCAAGTTTGTAAACAACTGAGCAGATGGCTTTCAGTAACTGTTCTGCTTCATTATCTCATAAAATTTCCTCAGCTGCTGCCTTAATACCATTTTTGGAAGCACATCAGAAGTTGTAGGAATAAACGAGATATAAAATCTGGTTTTACTACCTTACAATAAACCCCCAATATGGAATGTCAGGCTTGTTAGATTATACTTTTTTCCCTTTCCTTTTTTTTCTTGTGCTTCTGCGAGTGGGAAAAAGTCAGTGTTTCCTAAAAAAAAAAGGATTTCTTTAAAAAAAAACTTCTGCTAAATTTATTATTTCACCTACCTAGATTAGATGACAACAGAAAGCATCCTTGTTTGAATTTAGAGTGCAGTGCCTCTGAAATACTACAGAACATTTTAGAACCATAATTCTATGTTCCCAATCAAATTGATATAACTAAACACATATTCCAAGTAGTGCTAAAAAGCCCCATGAAAACAAATACATGCATGAAAAAGAATACTGTGCTCTACCTGGCTGTCTAGCCCAATCATGGCCAACAGCTTCACTTATGCACCACACCTAGGGCTTTTGACATCCTTTCTGAGGTTCCTATTCTAAAACAGTGCTGGCCATCTGAAAGGAAAATCCTATACTGCAGCTGCTTTTTGCCTGACCTTTATTGCCCTCCAGCTTTCTTCTCAAACCCCAGGAGACTAGCCTTCAACCTTGTTCTCATGGTGGGACACCTCAAGTCCTTTGCAATATTTTAGAGATCTTTTGGTCACTTTTGATTTTGTGCAGTATGCCTAGCAAGTAAAAAGAACCCTGTGGGGCATTGCTTCTAATCTGGCAAGACCCCTGCACAAATGTCAAACATCCTGTCATATTATGCAAGATGTTACTCTTGTCAGAAGCAGCACCTTACACAATGCCTTCTATAATGTAAGAAATGGTTCTTACCCAGTAGCTGCCCTGGGTGAAATTATGGGTGACTGAGGAGTCATAAAACTCTAGAGGTGTGTACTCATTCTGCCCAGATAGGAAGGGTGAGGTGCTGGTGAGGGAACAGGCTAGCAGTGTTCTCATTTCTGAAAGAAGACACTCCAGAGGTTTCATTTTTATTGCTAAAGCAAAATTTAGCACTGAAAGGGTTCTCCACTCTACACAATTACCCAGATTGGGATGTGTGTATGAGTATATTCTGGTCCTTGAACAGCTTCACTGGAAAAGTCTGAGGCTCCTAAGCTTAAGTAAACTGCCATCCAAGATAAAGCCAAAAATAATTCCTCTGTCCAACTTCTTATCTAGACTGGAAACTTGACATAACTCTCAACTGAACAGTTCCAACTTTACACTAAAAAATTAGTGCTTCACACTTTTACCTTGCTAGCTCATGGAATAATGTTTAAAAGTATCATATTAGGAGAAGTATTTATGAGCTTGAGGGGTTTGTGGACTCAATGAAGCAAGCTTTATGAGTTTGATTTATACATGATAGCTGCTTATGGGAAAGCATAGGTGTAGCTCCCCTGCAATCCTGCTTTCTTCATTTCTTTACAATGCTCAAATTAGTTACAATTTCTATGCTCAGTTTACGGAGTTCATTTACGGTCATGTCACCAAGGTGAATGTACATTTAGGTGAAGACAACTTTGCAGCATCTGCTAAAGTGAAATATAAAAATCACCACATCTGTTATTCAGTAGGGCACCCAATAAATAATACAGACAAGCAGACTGGGATAAAAAGAGCAACATTAGGCAAGCCCTAAGGGCTTGTGTTCACCCAGTGGAATTTTTTACTTGTCTTCTTTTAAATGCCAGAATTTCAAACCATATCACAAATGGCTTTTGCGACCTCACTTTCAGAAATCTTTTGCAATGAAGGACTGGGCCAGGAGAAGGTAAGAAAGGCACCATTCCCACAGAGCACAATTTAAAGCACCAGTAGGTGTTTCAGTTACTTGGATCCTGGTAGGTTTGCCCACATTCTTTATATTTATAGAAACATATTTATGACCTTTCAAAGTGAGGCTGGGATTCTAATCTATAGTTTAGACTTCCATGTAACTTTCTGAAACAAGGGATCAGATTATTGAGATGAAAAACTAACAACTCCCATGCAGAGTAGACTGACTGAAATGAATGGGACTTAAATGGATCTACTTTAAGTAGGTCTTATGTTGGATTTTACTTCTACTAAATGTTATAATGATGCAGGAATCAGGCATGTGAACAGATGGTGTTTGATTCTGAAAGACTGATATAAGAGTTGCTTAAGTGCAACCTGTTTCATCAATATCAGGAAGATGAAATCAAACATTTTTACAACCCTAAAACCCTGATTCTAACTATAGTTCTAAGTCCCACTGATTCCTACAAAGTTCATTTTCAAACACCTGTATCACAGTCTGTCTCTGTTCATTCCCATAACATGTGTAAGACAAGTTACATAACTTAGGGTGCAATCCTATGCATACTGAGGCAGAAACAGATTTACAACTTTTAGCATGTCCCAGCCACCATGGGAGTTATAGGCCTTTTTTTCTGTCTAAATATGCACAGGGTTGTGCCTTTAATATCCTTTGAATGGCACAACAGAATTAATAACACACATGGGTTTCAAGAGCAGCAGTAAGTTCTAATGCTAATGAATTCACATCAACCATGTTTTTACATACTGATATCAATATACAGAAAACCCTGCCGATAATCCAAACATTGTAGTAAAAGTATCAAAAGATGGAACTTAAAGTGTCTCCTTCCAATAAATACCACAAATCACTAGGAATGCTTGTGAATCTTATTTTACTAAACAGTGATACAAAGAAGGCTAGAATAATGGCAACAATGTAGACACAATAAGGATACAGAATTTACTGTAATTTGTAGCAAATCTATGTTCATAATATTCCTAATTTTGCAAACATTGTTTATAGAGTAGGGCAAATGCAAAATAAAGTTTATTTTGACCAAAGATACAGGAGACATTGTTAGGTATGTTTGAAGAGAAGTCCATAGTTTTACTTTAACATTTACCAATGTTTGAGTTAGAAGACTGAACCTATCCTCTTTGGAAGCCTAATTAAAACTAATCACTCAGAGGAAGATGACAACAGCTACATCATCTTTGGAACTGGTAAATGATATCCCACAACTTAAATCCAATCAGCACAACAAACTTTCTGACCTATAACATGGTGCAAGGATTTCTATTTGTGTTAAATCAAGTAAGTCCAGGACATTATGACAAAGTAATGGGAGTAACAAACTTACTTATTACAGTGATGTTTGAGGTGTTTCTTGTAGCTGTCCTCCTGAAACAAGGCATCTGGATTACAGCTTGCTAGCCAGTCAGCATTCTGTAGCACTGGTTGTGAATTCTGAGCTTTCACTTTTTTGCCTTTCCTTCCTCTGGGTACCGGAGCGGACAAGCCTAAGGAATACACATATGCATGATTCATTCAGCCCCACTTTCAACATTCACTTCTAACAAGCAAGGTGTTTGCATTTTGACTTTTGGAAAGCCAGGTCTTACCCACTATTACATTACACCCCATGACAACTATAATTAGGGCTTTGCACACAGTATGCTAAGGCAGAAAAAAACAAAACCACACAATGTGTAATGAATGCCAGCTAAAACCTGATGAGTCCAAAAATTGCTGAAGATTTCTTATTTTCACAGGCTAGGCTTTAGCATCATACATGAACAGGAAGTGCACGGCTGAAATCCTGTACACACATTTAACTGGAAGTGATGCCCATTGAATTCTCTTTCTGAGCAAACAAGGCTATCTTAAGGTTGCAGAATTCAGCATTTCTACTACCTGGATTTATGTGCTTTTGAAAACAAAAACAAAACTGTAGAACCAAGCAAAGAATTAATATAACAGGTGTGATCTAAGTCAGTTCAAAGTGTTTAAATCCCAGCTTGTGTTTAAAGTTAGTGGAATTTAAAAGTGGATCAAACCAGATGTTTTCATCTCACCATTACTCCAAGTAGCTTAAAGCAATGATGTAGCCTTGCAACACCCATACAGAATTCATCAGAGCAGACCAAAGCAAACCAGTGATTTTTATATGAGGGCTGGGGCAGGATGTTTGAGTCTGAGTTTCCCACTTCAACCAAGTCACTCCACCAACAATGTTGACAGAGAAGGTGTATTTTATGCAAATAGGAAAATGTAAACAAGCAAATGAACACCCAAAGCCAGCAATTTCAAACAGAAATGGCAACTATGTTTAGGCAACTGGCACAGAAGATTTTCATCATTTGATATTTTTCTTTATTACATCTAAAGATGGGCCAGAATTATTTTTAAAAAAACCACACATAATGTATCATTACAAAGATGGATTTCTGTTGATACTATAGCCGTAATATTTCAACTGTAGAAATGTAGGTTTCTTAGTTCAATGGAAAGCCTAAAACAGAGTTGTAGCTCAGTGGTAAACACATATGCTTGATATGCAAAAGAACCCTGATTCAATTCTAAGCATCTGCAGGTAGGGTGGAAACAGATCCTATCCACAAACCTGGAGAGCCACGGCCAATCAGTGCAATTCAAAGGTGCAGAATTTCAGGCCCACATGCCAAATCTAGCCTTCTGAGTATCCCAATTATTTATTATTTTATTTATTTATTGAATTTCTATCTCACTCTCTTAAGTAAAATGAATCTCAGGGCAGGTTACAAGATAAATGATAAAACAAACAAATAGTATTGAATTAAGAATATAGCAACAATAAAACTTCACAGTGACTTCCTTATAACCATTGAAAATAATAAAAGATACAATAGCAGTAAAAATGAACAATATAAAATTATTTTTAACAATTAAAATATTGAGTAAATAAAAAGGACTTCACCTGGCACCAAAGAGAGTAAAGAGCTGGCACCAGGCAAACCTCTTTGGGAGGCCAATTCCAAAGTTGGCTACCACTGCTGAGAAGTTGTTTCTCCTTGTCAGCCCCTTACTTGTTTCCTTAGAAGAAGACCTTAAGAAAGACCTCCAAAGATGACCTAGGGATCCAGGTAGGCATATATGGGAAGAGCCACACTTTTAATTATCCTGACCCCAAGCCAATCTGGCCACCTGGTGTTTGCAAAAGGCCCATTCCATCCCCACCCTTCCGAACCATCAATGGTTTGCTGATTTCCCAGCTTTTGGGCACTCTGTTCCTTCCCCATTGTCAATGGTTACAATTGCAGTCCCAAGGCTTAGTTATTGGCAGTAAAGGCTTTTTAAGCTAAAATATATTGGTTTTTCTGGATCTGCCCACTGCTGGAATGCAGTTCCCCAAAGCTTCTCTGGAATAGAATTTAGCCCTCAGTTTTAAAGAGATTCTTTAGCCCTGGTGCAGGAAATATTGAACTAGATAGGCCAGTATCTTGGTATATGTCGATTTCCTAAGTTTAAAATATCAGGAGACAAATGTTAATTCTTGATTTTCATAAATTATTTATTGAAATAGTCCAGACAAGCAATTGGAAAGGCAGCTTCAGAAGCAATGTCCCATATGAAGGCACTAATATATTTAATTCAGGGTGACAGTGAGAGCAAGGCTGAGTTACTTGTTGATCAAACATAAATCACCAAAGCACAAGGGTTTTAGATGTTACACAAAGAAGCACTGACCTACTCAATTTATGTTTCAAAATTTGACAAGACCATAGAACTCTTCCACAATTTTACAAAAATGTCAACAATATGGTACAGAGTTTTATATGAAATAATAGTGCACAGATACATACCAGAATGGTTGACCAGGGCTCGTGTTTGTCCATCTGCAGTTGGAGTAATCAGATCCCAGATAAAACTTTTGATGTTTTCATCCCCTTTGTAATGATTGAGACAATACACAAGGATTGTCCGACAGATGGTTTCCACATCTTGTTCTGTTAGCTGACGTTTATAGCGCCCATGTGAAAGGATATCAGTCCAACGCCCCCAACTACAAGAAGAATACAAAAGTACACACATACAAAATGGGGTTTCACATTAACTCCTGAGTGCCAGGAGGAATGGTAACAACCACACTAGGAGTAATTACATTCTGAAATTGCTGGTCATGTTACGGAATCCAGCTTCTAGCAGCAAAGAGTTAAAAGTATTTATTTTACTAAGCAAGCAGTACCTTTACTGCTCATAAAAGACACAATTTAACTACACTGGAAATAATAAAATACACATGTTTAACACTATGGTCTTCATAGGCTCTGAACAGGAAATATAATCCTAGAACAATTTCTGCAGTCCTAAGATTTTTAGATCAACTTGAATTTGATCCTCTATTTATAACATGTGTCCTCAAACTAAGGCCCACAGGCTGGATCCAGCCCGCTATGCCCTTTTAACCGGCCCGCCCCACAGGTTTTGCACTTGCTGGGTATGCATGCTACTTGCTCACAAGGAGGTCGTTTTAGAACAGCTTGGAGAAAACAATCTCATCGTGAGAAAGTCAGCATCTCGCCCGGTGGCAGCTTGCTAACGGGGAGATGGTTTCGGATTCGGAGAAAATGATCTCCTTGCGAGCAAGCCGGCACCTTGTCCTGTGCACGCCCCCATCATCTCCGGGCCTTGCCTTGAGTGTGTGCGCATGCACCCAGCCCCCACAGCGTCCCACACCTCCCCACCAGCACCACCTTGGTGGCCCGCGCCCACCGCTGGCACTGGTCAACTGGTCCGCTGTTCAAAAAGTTTGAGGACCCCTGATTTATAAAAACTGTACACAGCTTTACACAAGCAAAGTTTAGACACACTGTCTTAATCTCACCTCAAAGGTAGTTCAGTAAAGCAGCCTGGCTTAAGTTTATTTGGGCTTTATTACTTCAGGTTGGAAGATCTCAAGTTTCACAGAAACAGGAGTTTACTAAGCTAGAAAATGAATGATGCTGAAACACTAAAACTAATACTTGGCTACTTATTTTCCCCAAAGATCATTATTTACAGTAGCTTTTTTATGGTTAACAGATGAGAAGCACCTTTTTAAATGGAAAGTACATTGGCGATTTGGGCTTCCATTTTATAAGCTTAATGTCTGTGATTGGAAAAAAATGCAAAATTTGGGACCATGCAATTTGCATATTGAGCTTACTATATCTTTTAACTTGCAAGTACCATAATGATAAATGGAAGATACGGGCTGAAAGGTTTATTGTAAAAATTGTGACTGAAATCCAGCAGAGCATTCCACTACAGGTCAACTGAATTCTTCTACTTTTGCTAGGACAGGGGAAAATGGTTAATGAATTCCAAGGAATGGGAGATTGGATTGGATCCAAGATCACCTGCCATAAAACAGATACTGCAGGCAGATGAAGAGGTCTATGTCCTCCATTCTTCCCAAAACACCAGCACGCTCCCTCCAAATAAAGGGGGAGAGAGCCACAACTATCTGGAGAAGATTTAGAAGGTATGTAAGGTGGTGATGACATCAGACAGGGAGCTCATTTCACTGTTGCAATGACAAATTTGGGTCCAATCCTCAATTTGACAAGCTATGTGAATTCCAGTACATGTGAAACTTTAGTTTGAAGCCTCTGTACACACAGAGCTAAAACCATAAATACTCCTTATGAAGTAACAATATGCTCTCAAATGATAGAAATTATTAATATTTTACTTACCCATAAACCAATAGATTTTTTTCTACTCTGAAACATTCACTCCGTGCATAACCCTGTGTTTTGTCCTGTGGCCTACGGGGCTTTATACTAGGTTTTTCCTCAGAATCACTTTCCAGATCTGAAAATTCCATCAGCTCATCTTCTTTGACTGCACTGTATAACCTAGTTTGTTTTCTTACTCTTGGAGTATCAATAACTAAATTGTTCTATAACAAAAATAAAATGAGGCTTGAGTTAAAAACTGACAACAATCACCACTATATTTTACTGATTTAAATGAATAGTTTGAATTTCTTACCCTTCCATTTAAGGCATCAATATCAAGCTCAGCTTTTTTTGCCCACTTCTGCCAGAAGTTAGGATCATCCAAAGAAATGTCTGTTCTGTTACCAGATGCAACAAAGCTAGCCTAAAACAATGCATATCTTGATTAAGTATCCCAATTCATATTAACACAGGGAAAATATTTTGCCTTCATTTACTGATTTTTATACTTGCAATGTAATGTCAGTAAAAGACTTGCAATACTGCATCATAAAGAACTAGTGACTCAAGGAAAACATTGCTCATACCTAGGGATGTGCAATCCTGGGAAATCTGCTTCATTTGAACTTGACAGATTTTTGCAGTATTTCCAATCTGGCAATCAGAAATGGACCACACAGGATGTTTGTGGTTCCAGAAATACACGCAAAATAGTTACACACACTGGAAACCAAAATCTGCATTGAGAACACTGAACTAAAATCTGCATATTTAAAACACCATTTATGTAAACTGGGTATTTGAGCAAATGGGATTTGAATCTTTAAATTTGCATAAATGGGTGCACACTGTTTTTAACAACTTATCACATTTGTATGTGTTATGTAGTTATGTAACTGTGAATATAGCATATTCCTTTTGTAAAAATCTTTATCTTCCTCATCTTACAACTTCATCCTTAGCCCACCATATTCCTCTACTTCCCAAAGAATTTTTCATTATTGAGTTAATTTAGTCTGGCATTAGCACTAGGGCTTTTCACTGGAGTAATTTGTACACATTGATAGTTACATTTTAATTATCATTTCAGTTTTTTTCTGAACACCCATGATTTGTGCAAATTATGTTGCGATCTTTTAGCTTTTCCCCACTGCACATATTCATCCCACTAATATTATTTATCCAGTATCTGATTTATTTCACTTTTAGAATGGGACACAATTTTATCATTTTAAAAAATTCTGAGGAAATGTGTGCAAATTTTTGCCTCTGCAATTTGTACAATTTTCCTGAACTTAAAAAACAACAACACAACAGCAACACCTTTACACAAATACCATTTAAATGTGGAAATCTGTGCACTGGCTCTACTTGTGTTAAACTGAGTCAGTGTCAGCATGGAGAAACAGAATGGAATCTGTGGATAACTAAGATGGAAAAATCAGACAGATTTCACTCAGAATGGAACCCTTGCACATCCCTAGTCATACTGCAACACTGCTGTGGTTGAGCTGTGTCTGAAGGATGGAACTGAAAATCACCTGCCTGGCAGAAACAAAATGTCTGTGTATTTATATACTGTTTTCTTAGAAGAATTAGAATTTCTTCTAAAATAAAAGGTTAGACTATCAGTGGAAATATGAAGGGTATTTTAGTACTTCCTGAAATATCACACACAATAATCTAGTTTACACATAACAGAAATATATCAGTTATAAAATCTGATGAGTTGTCATGAGCACTTTTACCCCACAATCCATGACTGTCTCCTTCATAATTTATCATGAGTGACATGAGAGCCTGGATGCCTGGATTGTTTAGGGTCTAAAGAACACAGCAGTTAACCCAACAATAAACCATGCGGTCATCCATGCTCATGCATGACAACCCATCTGCTCTTTAACGGATGAGTTATTGTTACGTGAGAAAAAGCCAAATGTAGCTGGGATTGGGACAGAAAGGGGTTAGACAATTACTTTTATGTTGCTGTTGTTTTGCTCTGTTTACTTCTCCAGAAATATATTCCAGTATATGTCACAGGAATACTGAAGACCTTGGACAGAGAACACATTTCAGGCACATTTCAGGTAAAATAAATTACTACTGATTTGAGTAGTGTGCAGAATTTCCTAATATGGAATCTGCAAACTGCACCAATTCTAGGAAAATCTCCACTCTGTGGGATGCAGCATTCTGGTTAAAGATGCAGTATTCCTGTATGCTACTGACATGAAAGTTCACTGGTGATATGCTAAGAATGGGGTTGAAGGTACTCTCATCACCAAGATGCCCACCTTCTGTACTGAATACATGGATATTTGTGTCTGCTTTAGATATAATATGAAGTCTTTCATATGTTTACAATTTTAAAATTACTTTCTGCAGTGTTCAGAGATTTCATGCAGTGGTCATGGTTTTCGTGGTGCACTGGAAGGCAAACTGTATTTGTGCAATTTTAAGTGAATTTTGGATTAGTTTTATCCTAGTGTCTCCCTAGGTTATCCTTAAATATTGAGCTTCAAATACTATATTTCTAGATGGGCACAACTGCAATAAAGATAATCCATACAAATTTATATTTATATATGAAAATGCTCACCTTTGCAAATGTAGAACCTTTTCCTTCAGATTCAATGGTGATTGTGTGTGTTCGCCTCAAAAGAATCTGATCTATATCCTCCTCACAGAATTTGGATCCTTCATCCTCTTCATCCATTAGTGCACCATAAGCCCCCTTTCTCAAAAGATCTTCAATTTCTTTTTTAGAAAGCTGCTGAACCTGTAATTTGTGGTAAGGAGAAATTTATATTCATCACAGAAATATAGCATTGTCCCTGCTCTAAATCCAGAATACTGCTAGTGGAAGGAATTTCTACACTACCTGTTTTTTGTGCAAGCACTAACTGCATAGTTTAGAGACTGGTTCTTGCTAGCACAATATAATTTGTGCTAGTCAGAACACATTGTTGGATAGAATCCCATCTCCTCAACAAGTACAAACTGTATGAGCAATGTTTCTGAAACATATACATAAATTATTTCCATTGTATGGGGAGGAGGACTCTTAGCAAATATTTTCTGGTAGCAAAGGGCATAACTATGCATGGCATCAAGTAGTTATTAGAATGTAACATGCACCTTTAAAATACACAAAGCAGCAAGAAAAGCTGGAGCTTCCAGGGGAGGCTCCACTTCCCCAGGGAAGTTTCATTCAAGTCTGCCTTCCTGGCCACAGAAGCAGGTCCTTCCCAGAACTAAGTGGCCTCCTGCACTTGGGGCAGAAAAAGAGATATAAATATATTCTTACCCCATTTGTAGCATTCTCTCTTCCACTCATGGATTGAAGCACAGCTTTATCAAGACCAAGTTTTAAACTAGCTTTGTCAAACATTTCCCTTTCATAAGAATTCCTTGTTATTAACCTGTAGATTTTCACTGATTTGCTTTGTCCTATCCTGTGACATCGAGCCTGAGCCTAAAAATTATGAAAAAAGATTAATTTTGTGTAACACATTAAAATAAGTAAGCAACACATGCTCACTTTATTTATTCATTCACAAGTTTATATGCCACTGAATAGTCCAATGGAGAACTCTTGAGAACAATTCTTAAGTCAAGAAGACTATTTCATGAACCTTTCAAAATTCAGCATATCACTCAAGAGATTATCCCTTTTTACAGAATTTTATGGGAAAAGTTTGTGATAAATGCCTCTTATAGTATTACCTGAAGATCATTTTGAGGGTTCCAGTCTGAATCAAAGATGATGCATGTATCAGCAGCAGTAAGATTAATTCCCAAACCACCTGCTCTTGTACACAGTAGAAAAACAAATCGGTCAGAATCAGGTCTGGAAAACCTATCAATAGCTGCTTGACGAAGGTTGCCTCTTACTCTACCATCAATTCGTTCATATGGATACCTGGGGAAACAGAGTGATATTACAAGGAGAACCTAAAAACACCTACATCTTTATGCCAAAGTTTCAGGAATGTAAGCAATATTCTGTGGGCACTACACATTGATTTCAAAATGCCAAAACACTAGTGATGTTGTGCTAATGTAAACTGACACTGGTGTAAAATCATTAGTGACTGCTGGAAAAAAAAAAAGCGGGGGGAGACAGCATTTACCACTGAATTCAGCAGTGTGGTTTGCTGGGTTGCAAATTGCTCTATTTCGCCTTTGTTTCAAATGCTAACAACACTGCACTAGCACTGATTTACTCTAACACTTTGAAAAAAATGGATACTGTCCTGTCTGCAACAAATGCAGATATACAAGTGAACATTTTTTCCAAATTAACTTTGTAGCCCTTTTTCTTATAAATATTTGTAGTCTTGACACCAGGTCTTGAATGACAGAAAGTAAACAAAAGCTAACGTTGTGGGGGCGGGGCAGGAAGATATAAGGAGAACCCCCACACACATACCCTTTGGTATTTTCCCTAAATTCCAAGCTTATTCCAAAATCATATGGACATTAATTTCTATTTCCAAGTCTTTCAGAAATCTAAGTAGTGTGCCAAATTTTAGATGAAGCATGCACAAAAAATACAAGGAAGCCTTACTCCATCAATTTACTTAGTTGTGATTTTTCACTCAGTATTAAGTGGTTGAAGAATATTACAGATACAATAAAATAATAAAGGTAGAGAATATTCTTCAATCAGCATGGTATATTAGCAAGACTCTTGTGCATATATTTTCCTGCAGATTATGTTTTCATTCCAGCAGAAAACAAACATTAATCATTTCCATAATGTGTAACAGCCATTCTAAACAGTTGTAAAATCTCACCATAAATGAAAAGGTGATCTGTTATGGTGATGAGCAAAAGGTTATGACTGACAGCACAATTTTCACTATACCTACGCTTATCAATATACTTTTTTTTTTATCCATAATGTTCCTGTACTTCCGTTGTTTCTTCTCTTGGCAATAAAGGTTAAATACTTGATAGCCCATTGAATAATCACTAGTTTTTAGAACTGGATTATATTGTTATTCTCACCGTCTTTGAATGAGGTAGTCTTCCAGTATGTCCAAGCAGCGCACCATCTGGGAAAAGATAAGCACCCTGTGGCCACCAGCCTTTAGTTTTGGCAGCAACTTGTCAATCAGTACTAGCTTGCCAGCAGCCTGGATCATTGCCTGGAGCTGAAAATCTGGAGAGTCAGGATTGTGTGTTTCTTTAAACTCTTCCAAAATTTTTTCTTCAGCACCTGCAGAGATTGGACAGCAGTATGTGAATACTCTAAAGGTTTTATTAATAAAATCACGAGCTTGCCTCCCATTCCCTATACATGTCTTAATAGTTTTATATGTGAAGAAATATTTACATAGCTGCATTTACTTAATTAAAGATCATGTGGAAAACATAGAAGCACAAACAAACAATATAACCAAAGCTTCCAGCAAACAAGTTTCACAACAACACAGAGGTGCCAAGCCAGAAGTCATAACAAATTAGGGAGCAGGGAATGATGGAATAATTAATTAGTAAATTAAGTAGATAACAATATCTAACAGCTAGGTTGAAAGACAGTTCTAGCAAAACCTATGCCTTTTAAAGAAGACTCTTTGAAATATATCACTACTACTGGTCCAAATACAATAATTATAGTAATACAGTAGCTGTATTCTGATAAGGTATATTTTAATATCTATCTTCTAAACTTTTACAAGGCAAGGAGTACTGTGAGGCAGAATGAATACTTGTTAGTCCACAGTGACAGTAGGGATATCCCCATGAGAAAAGTCTGTAGCCACAACACAAGAAAATACTGGTGACAAAGATAGAACAACCCATGGCTCCTTCACTGCTTTACTAATTGTTGGTTAGTACCTCATTGGAATGCTGCCAGGGCCTGGGGTTAGTCCACTTGGAGAAGTATATAGGCAAAGCTCAGCCAAATATAAAAATTATTATTTAAGGTTCCCCATATGCTTAAAAGAGTCTGGTTTCTTTTATGCTACTGAACAATATTTAATACTGAAAATAAAAGTAGCATAAGCTAAGAATGGCATTCACAACTTAGATAACAAAAAGTATGACCCCAAGGCAATCTAAAATGCCACAGAAGCAATAGAACTGAACATTTGTGCAATGTAATACTAAAACCATTCCAGCACACAAAATCAAACAAGTCACTGTTCTTACAATGGATTTGTGGAAGACAACTGAGGTAAGAGGCATATTTGCAGTTTCTGTTTGAGAATAACCACTGTTCATTTGAATCATTTTTCTTGATTAACAACAAGGTCAACAAATACTGCTCATGCTCACAATTATATGTATTTTAATGGGGATATGCATTACTGCTAAAGAACAGCATGTGGACACAGCACGTGTTTTATGGCAGAAGTAGGCAACCTGGTGTCCTCCAGATTCTTTTCAAACTACATGTTCCAACAGCCCTAGTAAAGATGGCAAATGGTCCCAAATTACAGGCACTATAATCCAAAATGCAAAGGGAACTACGTTGCCAATGCATGCTTTATGGTTTCTGCTGCTCTCATTGGATAAATTGAATTTCTATGTACTTACTTACAAAGACTAAAAATTTCACTATGCACTTTGCTTCAAGAAATGACAAGTAACCTTAAAATCATCTGCAGAGTTCCTTCTCCAACAGCCCCCCATGAGAGAGGTGAGGAGGGCTGTTACGGTTGATTATTCTGTCACTCTGTGCTTGATCCATCTGTCAGGAATTTTCTGTTAGGTAGATGGTCATGACTATTTGGACCTACTGTGGATCCATGGCTATACCATAATGATATCTTAAAAGCATGATATTCACATCAGGCTATATAATATTTCTGGCTATATTCTTCCACCCACACCACATTTTAAAAGTTTCTCTTCAAAAAGAGTTCTAAATATTTCTGTGTGAACCTGCTATGTCTGGACTTTCTGAAAATCTTACAAAATTATGAGGCTGGTCAAAAATTCGCTTTGGCTGATTATTCCATCATGCAGTGGCAGTTTGGCTGCACTGATAAGAACTTATAAGTACTGATAAGAACTTTCCCCTTATAAGAACTGGCTTTTATACAGCTTGTAGAGAAGTATTTTAGGAATAACTGAATGCTTATTCAAAAGTCATATTGACTTCAGGGGTTAGGTGAAGAAAGAGATTACCACCAGGTATTTTTACTTGAGATGCTTTGGGAATTCTTATTTTAAAATGCAGGCTGTCTATCTGGTTCAGAGCATACAGAAACTATACTTACTTTCTCTGTACCTATACTATAACAAGCTCAATCAACCAGGTAACTTCAACTATAATATTTCCACCATATAAAATCAATCTAAATGCACAGCAAAAAAATCTGCCTCTAATTGTTCAGATGTTTATACTTTAACTAGAAAGTATTGCCTATAAAAACAGAACTGGTGTTGAGCATTTTACTTACTCTAGCTCTTCAATATGAAATTGATAATCTCCCAGTCTTTAGTTTTTATAGCTTCAACAGAGCTGATCAGAAAATCTTTCCTATAAGGCAATGTAGTCCTTTAAAAAAACAGAGCTACTGAATACTTTATCCTGAAGTATAATTAATCTGAGTATGCTCCCAAAGTTGCCATTCACCACAGAAGAAACAAGGAAATGATGTCATTGGCTGAATCCTCAAAAAGGAACAGCAGCAATGAAGATGCTGGGGCTAAATGTGTCACTGGAAGACAGCTGAATATATAAATGAAAGGGTATCCTGACACCAGCCCCAGCCACCACCACAGTCAACAGGAACACAAGGAAACAGACTAGGCTGGAAGTGACAGGGAAAAGATTGCAAGCTGTGATGGCAGAGGATTACAGAGGGGGACTGGGTCCTTAAACTGCCATATTGTTTCTGTTGGGACTGTATGGACAAGGAATTGGCATCTTTCTAATCAGTACAGCCATCATGGTCATGAAGAAGCCATTGTTTCTCCAAGGGCACTGGAAGAATTATTTCTTGCCCTACTACCTCCCTCACTACTTGTTCAGTGAGATGATCCAATTTTCTCTGCAAGGCCTGGGGCTTGAGGGCTATTGCATTCCAATATGCCAAACAGTGAGTTTATTAAAAAGCATTCAGATTATTACTCAACTGAAATTTGTTTTGCATCATTAATGCAAACTCCTCCCATAGCATTCTTTTATAGAGAAGGAAAGTTCAGACCTACCATTAATAAGGTATGGATGATTGCAGCACTTTCTTAATTCCATCATAGTGTTTAAGAGATTAGGAACATTAGCTTGACCACCACCTTTTGACAAAAATGTAAAATTCTTTTCAAGAATGGCCCTGTAGTATTTCTTCTGAATGTTTGTCAATTCAACTTCAATTATGGTTTCTTCCTTGGGTGCCAAGTTCTTTTCTACATCTTCTTTGAGACGTCTCAACATCATTGGCTTTAGGATGGCTTGGAGTTTTTGCACCTAGTTATACAATTAGATATATATTTGAATGAAGTTAAACACTACATTTCTTTCTTTTATTACAAAACTCAATACAATTGAACTTAGTTTTCATCATTTTGATACTGAAATCCAGTGATTATCATGCAGTATCTTCCATAATCGTATATATTACTATTACTAATTGTGCTTACAAAATAGCACAATTGCAATCAAAATTGTAGTACAACATAAACAGAGTGTCAACTTTAAAACCTTAACATAAAACTAGGACTCGCACATCAGGGTAGCTGCACTTGATTAAAACAATGTTAACTGTATGAGATTTAAGCACATCTAAATTTGTACATGATTAATAGCAATACTTAAAAAAACACTTTTTAGATTACAGAATACCTGTCACAGCATTGATCATTTTAAAAGAGGCTTTCCTACTATGCAAAAGAAGGGAGGATTTCTCTTCTAAAATGGTTGCATACAGAGTTAGGTGCTTCTACTGGCTATATACAGGGTTAAGTTCATAGTAGTTACAAATAAATTTTAAGTTTTAGTATCAATATCCTTCTTCTACATAAAATTGCTTAATTGTTCAGTTTCTTGAAATGCAGAACAATGGACTTAGGGTTATCAAGGGAGTCAACTGATCACCACCTACCTGACTGCCCTGCCACACCCTGGCACGGGTGAGAGGCATGCCTGGACAAGGCGGAGCGTCGGAGGGCCCGGCGGCTTGAAAGCGCCGGCAAGAGGAGAGCCGGCAGGAACAACTGCGCGCCTGGCAGCGAACGCCAGCAGCGAACGCCCGCGAACGCCCGTGCCGCCAATTCCACCACCTACCTGACTGCCCTGCCACGCCCCGGCACGGGTGAGAGACGTGCCCGGACGAGGCGGAGCATCGGAGGGCCCAGCAGCTTGAAAGCGCCGGTGGCCGAAGGGTGTCAGCCAAAGGGCAGTCGCCGCCATTTGGGGACCGTTTGGGGGGCTGGGCTGGCCAGGGGGCTTTCACTTGGCTGTGTTAGGCCTTCCTGCTGGGCTGTGAGTTTTTACTGTTTTTATAATTTTATTGTGTTTTAAGCTGTTTTATGGAGTCGTCCCTGGCCACGTTGCCGCTTGTGTTTCCTGGGGAGCGCATGGGCGCCGCCATTGGGGTGGTTATGGGCAATGGACGTAACAGCGGTGGGAGCTTAACATGTCCGCATAGAAGGAGGAGGGACAGATGGCTGACACCTGTCCCTACTTCTGGTTTTGCTCCCAGCCAGAGGGTGCTAGGGAGTCTTGTCAGCCGCCCCTCGGGCCTGATGGTGCTGCTGCTTAATGCCAGGTCGGTCAATAACAAATCTTCCCTCATCCATGACTTGATTGTGGATGAGGGGGCCGACCTGGCCTGCATAATGGAGACCTGGGCGGGGGGGGGGATGTGGCCCTCTCCCAACTGTGCCAGCCCAGGTATTTGGTTCAGCACTGCTCACAGCCGGAGGGGAGGGGGGGTCGCTTTGGTTTACCGAGCTTCCATCTCTCTCACGGGACTTCCTGTCCCTTCGAGACCAGGGCTGGAGTGTCTCTACTTGGTGTTGGGCGACCGAGACAGATTGGGGATTCTGTTGGTGTACCGTGCACCCTTCTGCCCAACAGTCTCCCTGCCTGAGCTGACGGAGACCATCTCGGACCATCTCAGATGTTGGTCCTGGGGGACTTCAATCTCCATGCCGAGACTGGTCTGACCAGGGCGACTCAGGACTTCATGGCCTCCATGACGGCCATGGGGCTGTCTCAACATGTCACCGGCCCGACCCATGAACGTGGACACACTCTGGACCTGGTTTTCTCGACGGGGCAGGAAGAGGGTGGTCTGAGGGTGAGGAATTTATGCTTGACTCCCCTGTCATGGTCAGATCACTTCCTGGTGAGGTTTGTGTTTGAGAGCGACCTCTCCCTCTGTAAGGGTGCGGACCCGATTGTGTGGGTCCACCCCCGGAGCCGGATGGATCCGGAAGGATTCCTGAAGGCCCTGGGGGAGTTTCCAGCTGACAAGACGGGTGCTCCTGTCGAGGCTCTGGTTGAACTGTGGAACGGGGAGATGACCAGGGCTGTAGACTTGATCGCTCCTAAGCGTCCTCTCCCACCGGGCAGAGCCCGCTCTTCCCCTTGGTATACACCTGAATTGAGGGCGATGAAGTAGGTTGGGAGACGGCTAAAGCGTAGGTGGAGGAAATCACAAGATGAATCTGACCGAACACACTTGAGAGCCCACTATTGAGCCTATGCTGTGGCAGTGAGGGCGGCGAAAAAGAGATTTTTTTCTGCTTCCATTGCCTCCTCACAATGCCGTCCAGTGGAGCTCTTTCGAGTGGTGCAAGGCCTGGTTCACCCAGGGCCGAAGGAAGACCTGGTTCCACCCTCAAAGGCCTGCTGTGATGACTTTGCCAGGCATTTCAGGGAGAAAATCATTCAGATTCATCACGAACTGGATTCCACTATTGATTCAGAGGTTTTAAGGGAGACGCCAACGCCGCTGTCTGGTCCAGAATTATTGGATGAATTTCAGTTACTGCAGCCCGATGATGTGGACAAGGTGCTTGGACGAGTACGTCCTACCACTTGCCTTTTGGACCCTTGCCTGTCTTGGTTAATAAATAATTCCAAGCACAGGATTGGAACCTGGATCTTGGAAGTGGTTAACGCTTCTCTGAGGGAGGGTCGGGTGCCTGCCCCTTTAAAGGAGGCGGTAGTCCGACCGGTCCTGAAGAAGGCGTCACTGGATCCAGAGATGGCCACTAATTATAGACCAGTGGCCAACATCCCGTTTCTGGGCAAGGTGTTAGAGCGGGTGGTGGCGGGACAACTCCAAGCACTCTTGGATGAAACTGATTATCTGGACCCATTTCAGTCCGGCTTCAGACCCGGGTACGGTACTGAATCTGCCTTGGTCTCCCTGTATGATGACCTGTGCAGGGAGAAGGACAGGGGGAGTGTGTCCCTGTTGGTTCTCCTGGACCTCTCAGCGGCTTTCGATACCATCGACCATGGTATCCTTCTGGATAGTCTTGCGGGATTGGGGGTCGGAGGCACTTCTTGGCAGTGGTTCCGTTCCTATCTCAACGGCCGGTCTCAGAAGGTGGTGCTGGAGGACTATGGCTCTGCGCCATGGCAGTTATGCCATGGAGTACCGTAGGGGTCCATTTTGTCCCCTTTGCTGTTCAACATCTACATGAAACCGCTGGGAGAGGTCATCAGGAGGTGTGGGCTGCAGAACCATCAGTACGCTGATGATACCCAGCTCTACCTCTCGTTTTCCACCAATCCAGGTGAGGCAGTGGCTGTACTGAACCGGTGCCTGGCCGAGGTAATGGGCTGGATGAGGGCTAATAAACTGAAGCTCAATCGAGACAAGACGGAGGTCCTGTTGGTTGGTGGATCGGGCTTCGGAGAGGGTGGATTTGACCTGGTCCTGAACGGGGTTGCACTTCCTCTTAGGGACAAGGTCCGCAGCTTGGGAGTGCTCCTCGACCCGGAGCTTTCACTGGAAGCTCAGGTAACAGCAGCAGCGAGGAGCGCTTTCCTCCAGCTTCGGCCGATTCATCAGCTGCGCCCCTACCTGGAGTACAACTGCCTCGCAACAGTGACACATGCGCTGGTGACTTCCCGTCTTGACTTCTGTAACGCGCTCTACGTGGGGCTACCCTTGAAGACGGTCTGAATACTTCAATTGGTTCAAAATAGAGCTGCCAGGCTGCTGACGGGGACTGGGCATTATGTTCACATGACTCCAGTTCTCCATCAGCTTCACTGGCTTCCCGTTGAAGTCCGGGCCCAATTCAAGGTGTTGGTGATGACCTATAAAGCCCTAAACGGCTTGGGTCCTGGTTACCTGAAGGAGCGCTTACAGCCATATATGCCCAGCCACCCCCTGCGATCGGCGGGAGAGGCCCTTCTCCGGGAGCCCTCCGTGAAAGAAATTAGGAGGGTGGGTACTCGGAGGAGGGCTTTCTCTGCGGTGGCGCCTAAGTTATGGAATGTGCTCCCCAGAGAGGTCTGCCTGGCGCCATTGTTATTTGTTTTTCGGCGCCAGGTGAAGACCTTTTTATTTAAGCGGCATTTTAAATGTTAATATTATTGAATTTTATCTGGCCAGGGCGGCTTATTTTATATTGTATGGTTGTATTTTATTCTTATGTTTACATTTTTAATTTATGATTATAATTATTTAATCTATTGTTGTAAGCCGCCCCGAGGCTTCGGCGAATGGGGCTGCATAAAAATGTTTTAATAATCATCATCATCATCATTTGAATATTGTCAGTGGATCACCTGTTTGTTCAAATATTGTAAGATATTTCACACATTCAAGAATACCACTGTGCAGTTGGCAGCTTACTCTTTAAAACAACAAAAACAACAATGGCGTCCTTGCTTAACAAAGTCAGGGAATAAGGGCTACTTCTAATATTTTAATAGTCAAGGGAAAACCAAGCAAAGTTCCTCCATAATTCACCTGCTATAACTCCTGGCATCTTCAAAAAGGAACAAGAATGTAACTGTCAATGAAGAGAATGAGTGGAAGTCACTGTCCAAGACTTCATTTTGCTTATTTTAAGAGCCACATCAGTTGAAACTGATGCTGGAAGAGCTGGCCCCTTGCTTATTTAGCATAACTGATTTTAAAGTCAGGGTCTTGCTTTGCTGATATTTTGATTCAATTCTGTTTTAATTTATTCTCCTATCCCCAATTTTGTGACTGCTGGATAACCCTGTTATTTCAGGATAAAGCCAAAGAGAAGTAACATTCAGTGATTTTTCCACATTTATAGAGAACATTTTAAAAAGTTATATTACAATTTTTAAAAGTTTAATTTCATTTTTATGCAATCACAGCTAATTTGGTTTTATAAAATTACTATTAAAAGTAGTACTAATTAATTAACATTAAAAGTAAATATCTTTTAATTTTAATAAAGATAAAATGATGCTCAACCAGAAAAAAGTTTTATAAATACTAATCAAATGTTGGGAGAAAGATTAGCAGTAGTCAGAAGAAGGACGAACTCTGATGCATTATCTTAGGAAGAGTTACTCAGATATAGGTCCAATTAATTAAATGAGAATTACTCCCAGGAAAGTGAGTTTAAGATTGCAGTCTAAAGTATAGTCTAAACTAGGAAAATAAATTCTTTGTGTAAGACAGAAAGTAGTCCTTGAAGTACTGTTATTATCTCCACTTCAAACTGCTGAATGGTCAACAGAAGTCTGAGATCATGCAAGGATTATTTAAGCCTTGAATAACCCTCACTGACCAGATTCATATGCCATTGCAACCCAATTGGGGAATGCATATTCATAATGGCAGCTGGCATACAAGTGCAGCTCCTTGTGGGTAAATTAGCCATTGATGGACTATCATGCTGAATGAAATGGCAAGGGGAAAATGTTAAATAATTTACCTGTTCCTCAGTTTTCAGATCACCAAATTCTTGCATGAAAGTGGATTCTGAAGGGAAACGACTTGGTTCCAAGAAATGGAGCAAGCTGAAGAGCTCTTCCACAGTGTTTTGTAGCGGAGTACCTGTAAGAAGCACCTTGTGTTCCTGCAAGAAACAGAGAATCAGGAACAATGCTGAACTTCCAAATTGCAAATCATGTCAAATCTACTTTCTCCCTTTCTATCTATTAGCATTTTAGACAGCACCCAACCAGCTTTTCCAGAGTTTGTTAACAAAGAATTTCAGGCATTTCACTACTTCCTGTTAAAGCAAGATTTTGAATAACTCACTATTCACATCTAATCTCTTCACTAGAAATTACCACTTCAAATCAACAGTTTCTGTCTTCAGTTTTTAGGTTTTTGTTAAACTTTGCTTAAGTCACTTTAATAGTATTTTGTCTAGGTAACTAAAATGGGACTGTAAATCAAACATTATTGTCATCATCATCATTATTATTATTTAACACTTTACAGTATAATATAGGCAAGAACTATTTTCTGCCCCAAGAATTTTGTATTATGGGTATAGAGAGAAATAGAAGCAAATTGTAGCTACTAGTACAATTCATTTTAACATCTGGCAGCATAGTAACACATAATATTCTCCTCATGCCTATTTCTACAATTAAGAACAGCAGTAAGAGCCCCATGGGAACTATCAGTCATAGTAGGAGGAAACGGGGGAAAAAAGAGAAGTAAAACTGAGTTGATTTTTAATTTTTATTAATCAGTAGCAACAAAAACATTACAATCAAGACCTGAAATTAAAAGAACGACTACAACCCAACATGGACATAACAAATCCTGGATGATCACAGTAACTTATAGTTAAAAAAAAACAGAGTTGGGTTATTATGAAGCAAATAAAAGAACTAAAAGAACCATTATGGTCTACTAGCTCAGTTTAGATGGCTATAGGAGATCAAACTAATGAATTGATTATGCATATTGTATTGTTGCATTCTGAAAGTGATTTCTATTAAAAAAAACAAACAGCCTCAGAAGCACAATTCAGTCCATAAACGCAATTTCCCATCACATTAATGTGACAGCCTGCATGCACCTCTTTTGGAGCTTAAGAATGCCAGTACTCACCAGGTCCATCATCTTTAGCCCTTCCAGCAGCTTGCAATTTCTATTCTTCAGTCTGTGAGCTTCATCAATTACCACACAGCGCCATGGAATGTTACGGAGCTCCGGACAGTCCGTCAAAATCATTTCAAATGTAGTGATGACAGCATGAAATTTGTATGACCCCTTAATTGCACGACCCTAAAAGTATTGGAATTATTTGATCAGTGTAACACAGCAAAAAGGTGATTCAAAGTTACCCACATTCTAACAATATATATTCTGTCATTAACTGATAGAACATTAAGTTGCTCTGCATACACAGAATAAACTGAGTGTCAGGATCTCATTCAGGAAAAGGGTAACTGCAGAGTAACAGAGCTATGAAAGATCAGAATGGGCAGACAGATGAAGGTGAGAACCCAAGCTAAAAAATTAACCTTTTATTTAAAAAGATATATTAGGAATACTGATAAACAACATCCCTCGTGACACTCTTTCCAACTACAGTCGGGTTCCCTTTAACCCAGTCTTCCCCAACTTGGTACTCTCCAGTTATTTTAACTCCTCACATCCCTGTTCATTGTACATGCTGACTGGGGCTGATGGGAGTTGAAGTCCAAAACATCTGGAGGGCACCAAGCCAAGTTTTAAAAGAAGTAATATGCTATTATTAAACTAAGAATGTTTACCTGTGGGTCTTTGAAGTACATTTCATACGATTGAATGGTCCTTCGGCTGGCCTGACTCCCATGATACACAACAACGTTCAATTCTGTCCAGGTATGGAATTCCCTTTCCCAGTTAGGAATTGTGGACAATGGGGCAATAACCAAAAAAGGACCATGGATTCCTTTTAAATATATCTCATAGAGAAATGTAATGGACTGGATGGTTTTCCCCAATCCCATTTCATCTGCTAAAATGCAGTTTCGCCTGCAATTAATAAATGATAATATTCTATACTGAGGTTATAGTTCAGCTCAAGCTAGGATTAACAAAACACATTTGCTTAGTTTATATGAACAAAAGCAAAATCCTATCATCACAAGATAAACATCAATTTTAAGTCAAATGTTTTCAGCGTAATAATTGAAATACTAATTCTGTAGATTGCATATGGATGCGCGCTCTCTCTCTCTCTCTCTCTCTCTCTCTCTCTCTCACACACACACACACACACACAGCTTCTCCAAATTTGATGTTTGATATGTTCCGAATTAAACAACGACAACAACACACCATATTTAAAAATCCTTCAGGATATTAGGCTAAACTATGAGTTCTGTCTTTTTACAATTAAGTTATTTTACGTACGTGTTGTACCAATTGAAAAGAAGCCAGTTTACTCCTTCCAACTGGTATTCCCTGAGTTTGTTGTTATTTTTATATTCCCTGGAACTTTCTGACTTCTTCCAGTCATCAGCAGGAGGTCGCTCCTGTTTTAAATATAGCAAATCATATTAGCCATTTCTGAAACCACATTATGATACTTTTTTAAAGTAACATTTTCCATACCAAGTCAACTCTTACCACACGTTCTGTTTCTGGCCGCCTAGCCATTAGTTTCTCAAATTCTTCAATCTTAGCTTGATCTATGTCTTGCTTTAATTCCCATGTGCTGTCCTCATATGGAAGTGAACACCATTTCACCAAATAATGAGTCACAGGCTTTGTTTTAAATTTAAAAAAGAAGAAATATGTAGTAAATGAACACCAATGTGTATTTTTTGAACTAACAGCATAAGTATAGTGGAATTCACAGGGTTATTCAACTTTATTAATACTTTGAATGGCAAAAAATAGTTCAACACCCAAGTTGTTGATATAATTACACAATATGCCTAAATTTTATTTATGTTTTTTATTTATTTGAGTTATATCCTGCCTTTTTTCTTACACAGAACTCAAATTGGCTTACATAACTCTTCTTCTGCTCTCAATTTTATCCCCACAACAACAACTCTGCAAGATAGTTTGGGCTGAGAATCTGCAACTGGCCCAGTCACCCAATGAGTTCCATGGTGGAGAGAGGACTAGGATCTAGATCGCCTGAGTCCCAGTCCCACGCTCTTAACCACTACACCATACTAGGTCTCAGAAAAGGTACTTTATCTTCTAACTGCAACATTACCTTCAAAATACAGTGGTACCTCAGCTCACGAACGCCTCAGTTCACGACCAAATTGGGTCGTGAACAAAAAATTCATAAAAATTTTGACTCAGGTCGTGAACTCCACATTGGGTGGCAACCATGATTGCAGCCATCTCCCCCACCCCCCAAGTAGGGAGATGGCCATGATCACATCCGTCTTTCCTGCAGGAGTGCGCCTGTTATTCTACCCATCTTTTGCATGAGCACAACCACGATCTCGGCCATCTCCCCCCCACCAGCATGATAGTGCCTGTTTCCCACTGAGAGCGCCTGTGTTCACGCCCATCTCTCTCCCCAAGCGCACCTGCGTTCGCACCCGCGTTCATCTCTCCCCCCGCGTGCACCGGGATGAGGGAACGTGCAGGGAGGACGGGCACAATCACAGTCATGCTGGGGGGGGGGGGCGGGTAGATGACCGCACTCAGGCTCGGGTGGGGGAGATGGCCATGATCTTTGCTGTTCTTTGTCACTTTGCTTCACATTTTTCTGATTAAAAAAAATAGTTACAGAACAGAGTAACCTTATTTACATTGAACCTTAATGGGACATTTAACTTGACTCATGACCAATTTGGGTCATGACCAAAGTACTGGAACAGATTAGGTCCATGAGCCAAGGTATCACTGTAAGTAGTACTGCATATCAGTATTAAAAAAACATTGCTGAAGACTTAAACATCCAAATAATGGAATATTTCCTCATATATTTATAAGAATAATGGCTCAGCAGTCAGTTACACACACACACACAACAAACTTTTAAATGTATAGGGAAAATATTAAGCTATTAGGTAGTTAATATTTGAATGAAGAGGGATTAAAGAAGTAGCTTTACTTGTTCCCTGTATGATTTGAAAGATTGGAATTTCTTTGAAAGATAGCATTATATGTCCCATTGCTCAAGAAAGTGGTCATAAGGGAATCAAATAGTATTTAGTTTACTGATCGAAGCCTATTAAAATGAGGTTTATCTAGTAATTAGGTAATGAAGATGGTTAAATAGACACTTACTTTAACAACTATTCAGTAATAATAAAATACAGAATTATTGAAAATGAAATGTCACTGAAAAAGTGAACAGGCCTGTTTCTAAACTTGAGAATTTCTAATACTTTAATTGTAAATATGTTATCACTAAAATGGTTTACTTTGGAAAAGGATCATCTACCACATGAACCTTATATATTAATTACAGTAAATATAAAAATATTCATATAGGAGATGCAATAGTATTAGTTCATAACTTAAAACTTATGAGTTTCACTAATGCATAAACTGTGAGTATAATCAACATCTTGGTATCCAAAGCAGTCTGAAGCTATTTCCCATTATTTTTGTTTCTTAAACAAATACATTCTACAAAGTCTCTTGTATGTCATGATCATCAATATTAAACTTAGAAATCATATAATATTTTATCTTATTTAACAAGATCTGGTGTGGTATAATGGTTAAGGGTGAGGGTCTGGGACTCAGGTGATCTGGATTTTAGTCCCCACTCAGCCATGGAGCTCACTGGGTGAATTTATGCCTGTCACAGTCTCTCAGTTCAACCTGGCTGATATTGTAAGGATAAGACTGGGACAAAGAGGAGAATTATGTAAGCTGCCCTGAGTTCTGTGTAAGAAGAAAAAAGTAGGATATAAATATATATAATGAATAAACATAAATCATTGATGATTGTGTACAGATATAATAAACCTGTGTACTTTAAATCTTCTCACTCATACACCAGTGGCATTCAATAAAATGCATTTCCATCTTTAAGGCCAACATGGCAACTTCTATCTATAACAACTGAAATAAAGCATAGACATTTCGTAAGATATAAATTTCCGCCAGGAATCCTTACCTCTCCATTATCATCCTTGCTATATGAAATATCCATTATTCTATCAACTTCAACATAATCGGGATTAAAAAGTTCATCATCTATCTGTGGAAGGGCAAAAAGTATAAAACAAAACATTGAGAAATGTAAGTATTTTCAGTATGTTAAAAATATGGGAAGCTACTATGAAATATATAGTTGGGAAATTTCATCATGTTAATTGAAATACAACAATTCAGCAAGATTTTTCCCTGTGAGGGAATCGGACTTCTCATACTTTGTAAACTCTTAATTACTGTGTGAAACCTTTTACTGCATGAGAATGTTTAAGAATATTTTAAATGAAGTGTGAAATTACAATTCACTAATGAGCAATCAAAAAGGCTTATAGCATGCAATGCATTCAGCATTTGTGAAGACTTCAGCTCATAATAGAGAATTTTGAGCCATGTATGCTAAGTGCTGTAAAAATATATGTACAGAAAAGTTGCCTAATTGCTGCATATGCCAGGTCAACATTGATATTCTAGAAAAGGTAAATTAAAATCCCACTTTGTTACCTATCAATAACCTTCTTAATTCTGATATGCCAGAATTAAGAGTAGTTTAGCACATATGAAATTTCACCCCAGCTCCAAATATATTATTTAGTCAGATTCTAGACATCTGCAGTATGGAAATATAATTTCGAAGTAAAGATTACTGAAAACCATGCAAAGCTCTTCAGGGCTAAGTTGATACTCTGTAGGATTTTTGTTATTTCCCAAACCATAACTGACCCTCTAAACATCATGAGAAGACAAAACTTAATAGATAAGACAATAAAGCTAGGAAAGATCAAAGGCAAAAGAAGAAGAGGAAGATCAACTATGAGATGGATCATTCCCATAAAGGTGGCTACAACCTTAGCTTTACAAGAGGTGAACAGGACTGCGGAGGACAGATCATTCTGGAAGGCATCATTCATAGGGTATTCAAAAGTGGGAGACAACTTGATGACACATTACATCAACAATAAAACAAATAAATGGTAGGCTGAATCCTAAGACTGAAACCAACCTGGAACCAGTAGTCTTAGTTTTGGGCAATGTTTGCATTGCACCACTTTTATTGTTGGATCACTGGGTGAATTCACATGATAAAATAACTCACTCTGAGAATACATTACATTGTGTTGATTATTCACAAGACTAAACAGATTTTTCCCAGCCTTATAAGTGAAAGTGTGGCTGTGATAGCTGTCCTCCCAAACAACTAACTGACAAGGGATTCTGGCCATCAAGGAGGCTGCTGCCCAATCAAGGAGTCTCCACTCAGTCCTCAACCTGTGTGACTCTGCCAAATCCTTCTCTCCTTCTGTTAGGTTCACATAGAGAAGCTGCCAGTTTCCTTCCTCTCCAAGGTTGCATCTAGCAGCTGGAAGGAAGTAACTTAACTCCTATTTGCTTTCCTTTGAGAACATTGACAGATATAAGCTCATACTGATCCTGACAATGCACAGGCTGAATAGCCCTATAACCCAGACAACTTCTGATCGGATTCTGGAAACAAACTACAGAAGTAAAAGGCAAAAGATTTATAGGATCTGAAGAGAAGCCAGCGTATACTACAGAAGTCACCACAGTGCTATGATGCACCAGGAAACACCAAGCAGTTTAAAAGAGCAAATTTTCAATATTCTCTGGTAGAATACCAGAATTTCAAACCTTACTGACCCTGAGGGATCACTGTAGGGGGTTAAGAGGAGTTGGTGAACTGAGATTTGAAGGAGACTGCTGGAGAGAGGGGACTGATATCATAAGAGAAAGTTTGGAAGTAACTATGAAGTGTCAAAGATATCTTAAGGCAGCTGAGGAAAATTAAAGAGAGTAAGGAGCTGCATGCAGCATTGTGAGTCAATAGCAGCCCCACAACTGCCTGCTAACTATGGAAGCCTTCTATCTCTAAGTCTTTGATCACACAGAGACAGGTATTAAGCAATCATGTGTATTTGCGGACATTTATGACCAGGATCACACAACATGACAACTCATCATGGCAACCCATGATGGGTTGTCAAGTTGTGTGATCTCAGACCTCTTTCTGTAGGGTAGCTTGATCTTTTCAAACAAGCCAGTCTGAGAACTCAAGGGATATTGTAGGGGGTTGTTTTATCCACAACACTTGTTGTTACCCAGGTGAGTGATCCAAGAGGGAGGAAAGAAAAGTGGCAGGTGAGGAGCTCAACAAGAATGATGAAAGGACCTTGCTGCTTATGATGATAGGCAACTGAATTCCATTAAACTTTCCAAATCTTTCTTCAGCCTTTGCTGTAGTTGACTCTCTAGAACTGATGGTCATTCTTCAAGATATTGCTCCAGAATTACACAACATGTCACTGTGTTTCCCCTTCAAGCCACTCAGCTCTTTGTTCTATTTATTTCAGCTGGATCTAGCAGTCCCACTGCTCACTTTGTATCACCATTTGGATGAGAAATGGATATGGGTGGAGGGAAAGCCTTTGAATAAGGATTAGCAGGGCTTGCAAGAATCAGGAATCCCACCACTAACACTAGTGCAATGTAAGTCATTTCTTGCCCTACTTGCCCGGCTCAACTGGAAAACTATATAAGCTTTTCCTGGCTTATTTTCCTGCAGAGAAACCATAAACCCACATAGTCCAGGGGAAAAAAGTTCTTAAAAATGCTCAGTAATATCACTTTTAGCTTCTACCTGGAAAGTTAACTGATAGTGTGCCCTCTCCACTACCAGTTTCTTCTCTGTCTTCAGAGAGGCATGACTTGGTTTGGTTTTGCTCAGGAAAGGGAGAATTAGTAAGGGAGAATTGGTAGCATCAGTGATGGTGAGTAAAGCACAAATTGATGCATCCCAAATCATGAGATTCAGCCAACTTGAAATGGGTATCACATTCAAGTAGTGACTGTTTACATTCTGAAATGTACACCCCTCCCCATGAACTTTGTCAGCACAACTAATTTGTTTTGTTGACCCTGCAGTTGCTTAATGTCACAGCTACTGGGATGTTGTGGATTGATCACTGAAGCAGAAAATCCAGTAGTCACAATTGTTCTTAATTAAAACAAGGGTGCTGAATCCATTAATCTAGGTCACTTAATTGTATACCTCATGGTTTGACCACTATTTTGGAAAATTGTTGCTGTCATCAAATGTGATGCTGTTGAGCATGGGTGAAGAGACTTGTGGCAATCAGATGTTCCTGAATAAAAAACATGGATCAATTTGAAAATCTAGGTTGCCAAATTTTATACCCATTTGACTGCTATATTAAAATGGCAACTATTTTTCCAGAAACTAAAGGTGCAAAGGTAGAAGATTCCTTGCTGTGACAATGTATGATCTGAAATGGCAGTTTATCATGGTGTGCTTGTCATTCTAGATTTCTTTTCTGATGTTAACTTTTTAATTTAAATAGAATTTTAAACTATTAACTATTTATTAAAATTTTAATGAAAATATTCAATTCTTGTTTCCAAATGCAAACATTTTGCCAAGTGAGCCCAAGTGTTGGGATGGTGGCATCTGTATAATTAATTTCAAGTATCAAACTATAATGAACTCCTTTAAATCCAAGTATTAATGTAACTTGCCAGGTAAGGAAATATGTGCAGATTATGTATTCAGTTGGAAAAATATTATAACTTTCTGCATGTGCCAACCTCTGGCAAATCAAAATCTATACTTTATTGTATGGATTTAAGATGGGGATGGGAAACTTCTCAAGGTCTAGAGACCAATTTCCTGCATGCATCATGGCTCATGCCCACCTTCTCCCATTGATTTGCTACCAAAATTCAGCAACTATCTTGCTGGTGGAAAAAACAAACCAACCACAAATGTGCATTCTTGCTATGCATTTCTAACACTGTGATTTCTATTATGCTTCAATATTCTTTAAAATCACAAAATGTAGATTGCAAATTTCTGAATTACACACAACTGTCTTATATCAGAATTATTACAATCACTTTAAGAAGGATGACGGTGGAAAAGAAAAATTAGGAAACTGACAGTACAATTTGATCTACACAGAAGCCCCATTAAGTTAAATAAAATATTAATATATACAAGATTGCAATGCCTAAATGATGCTGAAAAATCAGAGGCCTACTGCAGATGAAAACATGGGATAAACTGTGGATGTGGACTTTTCACCCAAGAGAGATGATATTTGCTCACTCTCTACTATCCTTCTACCAGCAGGCAAGCACTACTTTATTCAAACATAACTTTGGTGTTTGAGAAGGCCTGTGCTTGAATTGGATACTATTTATACCGTTACTTGTCTGTTTTTGATTGTGTGTTTAATGTACTTATTTTATTATTCTTTAAATCATGTTTACTCTGGATTTTAAAACTACTTTGTGATTACTTTTGGTAGAAAGGTAAGATACAACTCAAATAAATAAATAAATAAATAAATAGGTTAGCGGCAGACTATTAGGTGATAAACTCCCTCTTCCCCGGCCACCTTTTCTCTAATTATAGTTAACAGTAATCAATAATCTCATTTTAATCAAAGTTTGATGCAGGATTGAAAAAAAAAAACCCTTAAGGTTCTAAGAATTAACCATGTTTAAATTTGGTGCAGTTATTAATCCTAACCATGGGTAAAGCAATCAAGAGAAATACAAGAGGAATTCATACACTGGAGGGAAAGACCACAAGAAAACCCTGAGAAAGCTGATTCACACAATGCAAAATGTGACAAATGGCAAAAGTTGCATTTATCACTACTTAAGGTACTATGATCTACATATTAATTAATCAATTGTATTTCTATGCTGGTTTTCAAAAGACAACCAAGGAAGCATAAATATATAAAAGATAAAACAATAAAACACAACATAGTAAACCACTAAAACCTCAATATACACAACATTTTAAAAAGCCAAACTGAAATCTTAGTATGCCAGTTTTTCCAGTTTTTACATCCATAACCATTCTCTTAATTAAAAGGAACTATAAACGCCTAGGTCAGAACACTGCCATTTTGCTAAGAATGCAAACATGCATTACTTAAATGTGTGTTCAGAATATTTAAGAAGAAAATGAACATTGATGCAATATTTATATTTATATTTAAGTCCCAGGATGTGTGTCAAAACCATCCCCTCCACTCTGCTGCCAACAAATAGCAAACATTTATTGCATCAAAATATAGAAATTTTCCCACTCTTTGCAGAAAAGATAGATTCTGCAAAACTTCCAAATGTATGACAGTTCCATTTGTTTATTGTAAGCTGTCCTGAGACATTCCATAGGTGACAGGATAGAAAAGCGTGTAATAACATAAATAAATAAATAAATAAATAAATAAAGGACAGCGCCAACAATGTCTCTCTTTGGGACTCTATAGATTAAAATCATCACCCTGAATTTTGAACCCAGAAAGGAGCAGACAGCTGAGAAATGGTGTAATGTGCTCCGAGTGAATGTGACCGGTGCATGGTGGGCTACCACATGCTGTCCGAGATGAAGGGTTCACACCGTTTTCAAAAATGGCTGCCTATACAATGCAAAGAGTAGACCAACCTTGAGGTGGCATTATATGTTGTCACGTTTGAAAAGTTATTAGACTACAAAGTACATAACTAACAAAAATAATAAAATTGCATACCTCTGAGAGAAACTTATTTTGCACTTGCTTTGCTTTAAATCTCTTAATCTTTTGCTGAATTCGTCTATCTTTGTCCAGGACTTCCACAGATGCCCACTGACAGTGAAGGTAAGAACTAAAAAATTGAATGAATAGGAAAATAAAACATATAGCAATATTCTGTCTACTAAACACTTGTTGTCACAGATTTATATTTATGGAAACTATGTATGTAGAAAGTAGAACATAAGCTTTCTCCAGCTGAGGACAATTTTAGAAAAGCTGTAGTCAATATTTAGTTATAAATTAGTTATAACAAATTATTTAGTTATAAATTAGATATAATTTCTAAAGGAAAAGAAACTAAGATGCTTTAAATTAAGCACAATTAAGCCACTCATATTTCTTCCTGTATTCATGTTTAATTGCCTTTTATGAAGAGAGCTCACATAATATTTGTTTCATGAATTAAACTTTGATCTTCCATAGGTATGAACCTGTGAGGGTCTTTCTGCTGCTGCTCCCTGTATCTGGAATGCTCTCTCCAAGGAGATTCAGCTGTTGCCCTCTTTATACTCCTTTCAGTGCCAAAGAACTCCTTTTAAAAAAAACATTTTAGTATTTGATGCCACAATCTTTATTTGTTTCTTATCTGTATTTTAATTTATGTTGTTTTATGGATTTTAGGGACTGGGATGCTTTGTGTAGTTAGTTTTTATAATGGTTTTTAATTTGATTGAGAGCCGCCTAGAGATGTCATGGCACAATAGGTGGCATACAGATGTTTTAAATAAGCCGACACAACTATTCAGATGTAGTAGTAGAAAGCTTCAGCTGTGGGATGCTGTAGCAATGAACTAAATAAATAATGAATACTAATAAATGTACAACAGGGTTAGTGCACGACCTATTGGTTGGGTTTCCTCAGCAGTGGAGTTGTGCTTCATGCTGACACTGTTTTCCCGTGGTTCATTTCATATCACAATAATAGTGCAATTTGTATTTTAAAGTTAAAATGATTTCCTGCACTTGTCTAAAGAACAAACAGCAGTACATTTATGCAGAATTGTCAGACTGAAGTACTCTTGAAATTTAGTTTCCAGCTTCCAGGTTTTGCACATTGCAGCCCAGTTCAACGTTCAAATAAAACACACATTTAAAATAAATGATCAATTATGCTGAACTGCACTGATAGGGCAGGTTAGAAATATACTTCAAATATTTGGGAGTTGCATAGAGAATTGGCTTGTTTACTTACAAGTTTTTGTATTTTACATAGAATTCTTCAGCTTCTATTTCCTGTCCGTTCTCCATCTGTAAAGCAAGTTCAGTGTTGCTAATAATGAATAATGGTGTTAAATATCATCTTCAGCTTGTATGCAACACAGATTACCACACAAAAGCAGCATGGATTGGAATTGGAGGGATTTAAAGTATATTTTTTAAAGGAAGAAAGGAGAATGGTATAAGGCTTATTTACATCTGCTTATCTATGAACATTTTGCACTACGTATTACAACTTCCAAGACATGAATCATTTTAACTCCTCCCTAACCACATGCAGCTTCATTCACAATAACCTGACCCCAACTCTGGCTTTGTGCCAAACCCACAGTATTAAGGAGAAGCCAAGTATACCATTTTCTCAGGCAGCAGCCAATTAGCAACTGCACTCCAAAATGCCATATGTATTATTTTTGGCTGACTTATGATAACTTTACACTGTGGTTTTGTAACATGTTCAAGTAATGTTTTAACATGGTTTATGCTTCTATATCATTAGCACTGCTAAATAATAAACCATATTAAACTGAAATTTTAACTTCTGGTTGTTTGAATGCATTATTATTTGTGATGTTTACTTGATGGTACAATTAAATTCACTCTGGCAAGATAGCTTATATACAGAGGTGCAAAGTTAAATTGATGCCCCAAATACTGTATGTAAATAAAGCTAACGCTGTAACAAAGATTATCATACTAATGCTACATATCACCAAAATCAGTCTAAGCAGGAAATTTGGCATCTAATGCAACCTCAAGTCTAGCTTTTGAAACCTTAGATTTTGCTACAGTCTTAAATTACAATCATTAGCCTCAAAAGTGAGGGCACAATTCAGCTGAAGTTAAGGATTTGAAGTCAAATTGCTTTCAATGGAAGAATTAAGCTCACCATTAAACCTCTTTTATTAAAGTAAATTGAACTTAAAATATTCTGCTTTGGTGAGATTTTGTGATGCAGTAATTCTTCAAATAAGCATACAAGCCACATAAATCTTCAAGATGGTAGTATAAAGCATCTATACTGAGCACAACGAAGTTATAAGCAAGGCCAAATATACCAGGGTCTCCAATGAGATTAGTTTATCTTTACTTTGCTATGTCCTTATTTCCTGCTGGCTTGTAGTCAAAATAATCATTTTTAACAATACAAGATTTCTCCAAACACTTCAAGAAAAATGCCAACAAATATCACCTTCTTTCTGGAAAGGAAGCTCCATATTTCCCTACAAAACTACTATTAAACAGGATCCAGATAAAATGATTGCAATTAAAGTATGGAAAACCAACACCAGTTGTCCTGAAGCATGTGCTAGCTACATATAGAGAACAGCAGTAGAGTGGTATGCTCTGGTGGGATATGTAAGCATTGTGGGCTGGTACAAATACAACACTTACCAACCACTAAGCAAGGGTTGGGAAAAGGTCAACAATTCACATGCACATTCCCACTGCACTTGGTTCCCTTTCTCTCAACAACAGGTAAGCATAACCTTAACCATTCACTCCTGAATGGTGAAACACAGTGAAGTAATTCAAGTTGCTTTAGTCCACCTGATGATTAGAATGTGTAATGTACTCTATATGGATTTGTCCTTGAAGTCCAGAAATCTGAATTGGTTCAAAACGCACCTGTCAGAGTTCTGATGAAGTCTGACATTACAGTGTGGGATCACCTGAAGAAAGTGACTTGTAATACTTTCAGAAGAGATATTAATTTATGGAATTAGCTGTCATAAGATGTGGCAATGTCCCCTGCTTTAGATAGCTTTACGAAAAACTATACAAATCCATGGATGATAGGTCAATTAATGGCTAATGGCTATGAGAACTTAATGGAACCTCTATGTATATGAACAGTGTATCTCACAATCCTACATGCTTGGTGGCAACAGAGGGTGAATTATTGCCATCATTACCTGCTTGTTTCCTAGCCACTGCTCCAAAGAAAATATTTACCTAAAAGGTATGCCTCTGCATGACTAATCTCCCTGTTGATACAAAGAGGATGCCAGTTCAGGGTGAACAGTTGTCAAAAGCACCATCAAAAAAAGATCAGAAAAGGCATGCTTCTGAATACCAGTTGTTGGGGAATGTCAGCAGGAGGAGTGTTATAATACTCATGTCCTGCTAGGGCATCTCATTGGTGTTTGGATGCCATTTTGAGCTTGGAGCCCAAAAACCTGTCCAAGCTCATGATCACTGCCTTTCCCTTATAAAAAAAGTTTTAAATAAAGGCAGGCCCCTTTCCCATGCTTACTCTAATTCACAGGCTAGAATGGGTGTATTGCTGTCTTGAAAATAGTTTTATATAAGCCAGTGTGGTAGTGGTTAAGTGTATATAACTGAGACTCAGGCAATCTGCATTCTAGGTCCACTCAACCATGTAGCCAACACTCAGTCCAACCTACCCCACAGGGTTGTTGTTGTGGGGATAAGATCAAGAACAAAAGGAGGAGAATGATATAAGCTGCCTTTAAAACAAGTTGGGATACTCTGTCCCTAGATTATGTATTGATTTTACATATATACTTTATTCCAAATATGAATGCACCCACCATACAGCATGTCATATTAGCTTTCTTTTTAAGTAAGACATTATTGCATAGTGGTTAGAGTGATGGAATGAGACTTGAGATTTGGGTCCTAGCCACCCCTCACCCATGACACTCACTGGGTGATTTTGGGCCCATCGTGGACTCTCAACCTACCCTATCTCATAGGATTGTTGTAAGAACAAAATGGAGAGGAGGAGAAGCTTGTAAGGTGCATTTGATTCCTTGCAATACGAAAAGGAGTAGGATATAAATGTAATGTGATGGTGGTGATGATAGCAACAATATAAACATTCTAATATTTATTCTCATTTCTATGCACTCAGAGAAAATAATGGCCTTGCAATGTCTATTTAAAAACTTTCATACTGACTATAGTTATACTATAAGCACTATTTACCAAAAAACATGCTTTCCTTCTTAACTACTCCCACAATTGCTTATCAGTTAGTGATAAGTTGTTCAGTGACTGTCACAATTTTGCCTGCTGTCACTACAGCATGATCAGATTTTATTGATTTTATGTCTATAGTACACACATACAATACCTTGTAACCCAAGATCAGATGTTATCAAAACATATCCCATCAGAAGTTTTAGTAAAACAGCTGCCATATATCTACTATCTAGAAGAATCATGTTCCTTTAAATTTAGCTGGCATTGTAGAAGTTAAATCAGTATCTCCTTCAGAACTGTGAATTATCGTATTAGTTTGGTAATGTAAAACACTTTATGGAATCATATGATTCAGTGAAAATGCCTGTAATAATGCTTTACATCCATGTATGTACATGTACTTGTGTGCATGTACTCATATACAAAAATAATGTAAAATGTATTTGTAGCATAAAGATTCCAACATGCACATTTCTTCTTACAACAACTCTTAAACGTTAAGACCACCTATAACTCTTTATCCTTCTCATCAGTTTTGAAATTCCCAGTATTGAAATAAGGTAACCTGCAACCCATGGCTTGTTGGGGCCACAGCTGGGTTGTCATGTTGCCCAAACTTGGTTTTCCAGAGAGCACAACTGTGCGAATCAGAACAGCCAAAATGAATGGGTTACAACCTGGCAAGTGCCTATTTGCAGGTTTGCTCAGTTAATGTTCATGGCTGGCACCTGCTGCACTGAGCTAGGGCCTCTCTCCAACAGTCCTCAAGATAGCATCAATTTTTATAGAACCAGTGAAGTCATCGCTAACTATTCCTATTAATTATTCCTGCATATATATGGATTGCCCACTACCAGCTTTCCTGTCATATTATGCATTTTAATGTGACTCTTCCTAGTTTTTACTGCTAAATACTCAGTTAACTGTGTTAATAAGGTAATTCTTTCCTTTCCAGAAACTTAATTCTTAATATCACAGTTTTATTGCATTTAATCTCCTGTTGAATAGACTCACATATGTCCTTATGCCATCTGAAAAATTCTCTCAATCCCTGAATTTCAGTTTCATTTATATGATTGCTGACATTTTTTCATTCACGTTTTCCCTTTTTCTGTTCTAATTTCTAATCCAATTCCTTTCTTAAAACCTGCAAATCACCTTTTACCATATAATATCTGGTAACAATAATTTTCTGTCATCCAAAGTGACTGTTTCCAAGTCCACAAGGATTCCTTTCTTAGCAGCAGTTAGCCTTACCAATTTTTATCCTGCACATGCTTATATGTAACAATTGCACAAGCTTTTTTATAATACATTAATTATACATAATGTTTCATATACAGTGGTTGTTTTACTTTATGCTAAGTGGCAACTTCAGTGGTCATGGCCAAAGAAGAATTAACAACTTAATGCTAAGTATGCTAAACCCTTTAGACTCCAATTATTCAGTAGAATGCCTGGTGCTGCAGCAAGGCTGGAGTATTATGGTTGGCCACAGGAAATCAGGTTTCAAATTCTCATTTGGTTATGCAGCACACTGGATAGCTTTCAGCTAATCTTTGCCTTGTTGTCTAACCTCACAGTGCTACTGTTGTACCACTGTGTGGTTGCTTACAATGATAAAAAACAGTCAACGTAGTAATGTTTGCAGTTACTAACAATGAAAAAACCAAACAGTTCAGTGACAAGTCAACAGAACATGAACACCAAACAAAATCATATTAAAAACTAACAACCATTTAGCCTTAAAAGCTGGTTAAAATAAAAATGTTTTCAAGGAACATTTACTTTCATACAAAATGAGGATAAACTTGGTTAGGATGAAGCACACTGAGTTGCTTGTCTCTACTGAAGTATCTGGAGGCAGTGAAATGAGCACTGTCATTGTATGGCCAAGCCTCCCACTATATAACAATGACTATGTCCTCCCACCATTGCTGCTCGAACTTGGCTGGATCATGAAGCATTGCTGGTCAGTTACTTTTTGTTTTGTTACAACCACCAGCAGCTGCCCCACCAGTCCCCTGCCAGCTGTCATCATTCAGCTAAGTAGATCAGCAGCTGTTGATAAGGCAGGAAAGTGGCCACTCGAAGGCTGGTAACAAGGGGGTGGTCTGCAGAAAAGTACACCCAGCCAGGTCTCAAGGAACTTCACCAAAGTCTCAACAATGTCTTGCTAGATTTATCACAGGTTTGGTGAAACCTGACAAGACCTGAAGTGGGCCTTCCAACTGTGGCATCTGCAGATAAGTAGCTGTAGGCAGCACAGCAAGATACATGAATGATACCAATAGTATCACTACTCTGTCCCAGGTGGTGGCTTGTTCAACGTAACAATGCCACTAATGCAGTCCGCCCTCCACTTTCATGGGGTTGAAAGGTGCAGGACACCCACAAAGGTGGAAAAACTCTAGTCCCACCCCAAACCTTAACCCTTAATACTATTGACCATATGTGTACTGCTAGCTGCATTACAATTATCTCTTTCACAATTTGAATACCCTTTAGCTTAAAACAAGACCTGCTGCACCACAGCATGGTCCACTCTGAGCTTGTCCTGTGTTGCATCTTGCATGTCTTGCATGTGGCCACACACCTGGTCCTGAATCTGGCACCCACCCTGCCCTTGTGGGGGGGGGGGGAGACACCTTTCCTATGAAAGTCAAGTTCAACTGTACTTTAATACAATTCCTTTGCCTTGAAAGACCGGCAGTTTTTTAATGACAAGAAAAGTAAATTTCTATGTAAAGACAAACAGGACTTGAAGGGTATGAAGCTGCCATATATCAGCTCAGATCATTGTTCTATCTAGACCAGTACTGTCTACTCTACCAGGTGTTTGTTCTTTTAGGTAAGCACTCTGAACATCCTAAATGCAAAGAGCAAGGGTTATATTACTGGCTCCTCCTAGGTTAAGAGGAGAAAAATATAGTTTGGGGGGGATACCAAATAAAATTATATCTGCACGGTAAGTAAAATGGGCATAATGAAGAAAGAAAGTATTTAGGGACTTATTTAATGCATATTACTACCCAAGACATAACAGCACTTTCACTGCTAATCAAGAAATGATAGTTTTGATAATATTAAAGAACCAAAATAGAGGTAACCAACAAGAAGTCAATCCACTCTGAAGAGTCAAAACAGAATATTGAACAGAGATTATAGACCAGTGGTGGCGAACCTATGGCACGTGTGCCACAGTGGGCATGCAGAGCCTTCTCTGTTGGCACATGAGCCAAGTCGCCCCAGCATCACCCCAGCAGCTGAGCATTGGATAACAGCACACATAGGGGCCATGCACATGCTCAGAAAGGAGTAGCGGCACCAGGCGATGACATCACAAGCTGTAACTCATTAGCTGAGACTCGTCCGAGCTTTCACATGGCCAGTCAGTGTGCTGCCAAGGCTATATATATGTTTGTATCATTGAAAGCTCTGTTATTGTGTTTTTCTTTTAAGACAAAATTTGTTAATGTATGAGTTGTTTTCTCTAAACAAAAACCTCAGTATTCAAGTTTTATTGCAAAGTTGGGACTTTGCAATAAATAAGTGGGTTTTGGGTTGCAGTTTGGGCACTTGGGTCTCTAAAAGGTTCGACATCACTGTTATAGACCCTGAAGACTTCACATATCATTCATTAAACAATTAAAGGACCTAAAGAAGATTGCTCCCAACAAGTTTGCAATCAGAAACATACGGCTAAACCCTGCATGTGACAACATTCTCAAAATTCAAGCAAACAGTAACACTTCAAAAATCCTGTTTTGTAGGAAAACAGAAATACTCAAATAACTTCACTGTAATAAATGTGTGTGTGAAATGCAAGATGTTTTTGCCTTAAAAGTAAATTGTCAAAACACTATGATTGGCTTTTCAGAGGTGTCTTCCCCTGGAAACTGGGCTACAAATCAACAGCATAATGTTCAATAAAAACCAATGCAGAAATTTACTACAAGACACTGCAGGTAATCTACACAGTGAAACCAGTTCAAGATTTCAAATGTGTATCAGGCTTTAAATACTTCTTGAAGACTTGTTTACCCACACTACTGCTGACTTTTAATGGATTAAAATACAGCTCCATTTTATAATAGTCCCATTGTAACATTTCATGTAATTATTTTTTTCACTGCCTGCTTATACTGTTTTTATGAGTGTGTATCTCTGTATTCAGCTCTTAGAATATTAAATGAATAAATTTGAAATACTGGAAAATCAGAAAATATACAAGCTCTTCACCTGACTAATCTTACTGTTGCCTCCCGAACATTATACAACACACTGATGGCAGCAATAAGGTTCTTTCCCCCCACAAAAAAAATGCAATTAGTACAATAGTCCTACTCTAATCAGCAAAGTTTTATGTAACCTATTGTTGCTATATCCCTGAAGAATAAACTATTGATATGTGGGTGATATGGCCCTTGACACAGCACTTCACAACAAAACAAATGACCAACAATACCACATATAGTTTTTAAATGCATAGTTTAAGAAAAATAAACAGATTTTAAAATGTTTAATATTTTGGTATAAAACAGCAGCTTTAGTTACAAATAAGAGTATGCTACAATACTGAGGACTGGCCTGTTTGTGATTTGGTCTGGCTTTGTTTGTATGTGGCATTGTAGCATACTTTTATTGTGATGGGCAGATCAGTTCTGAGCTTTCAACACGATGCTTCAGATTCTTTTATCTGAGTTCAAAAAGGAACTTCAACCCTAAAGCTGGAGATTTATACCCTACAGCAACCATGGAAGGAACTGCAGTGGCTGCTTCTCCAACAATGAAGTAAAGTCTTGAGGCCTGCTTTAAAAAAAAAAAAAAAGAATAACTACCTGTTTCTTAAATGTACGGCTACTCATGATTTTCTCTACTACAGGTCCTTCAGCATCAGCAGATTCCTGAAATGAAATATTCCATGATAGTTATATATAAGGGAAAAATACAAAAATGAAGCAACAAACTATTGTGAGATACCCCTGAAGTCTACATTCCAGGTTCCGCATATAGACTCAGAAGGCACACAACACTTGACTCCAGTATGAGAATGAGCACTATGAACTTTTTCTTTGGCTTAGATTTTAAGAAAATAAAGGCAGGGTTGCATACCCATAAACTGTCATTCTTTGAGTGGTCATGTCTGCATTCACACATATGGCTTTGTGCCTGAGCAGAGCTTATAGTCAGCAAGTGTCCAGAGTTAAGCATTTGTTTTGGCCAGAAATCCCTTCCTTCCTGGTCCCAGGAAGCTTGGGGAGGGACTCCTGCCCAACTCTCAGTTTCTATGGATTTCTGGACCAAGGATGAGGAGGAAGAGGTCCCAACCTGGCCTGGCCTTGAACATCAATGGAGTGTAAGACAGTATCAACTGTAACAGCAAGTGGTAACAGCAAGTGGGGCCAAAGGGTTGTATAAATGCACAGATGACCAATTGAAGAATGACAGTTACAGGAAAGCAACCCTATCTTTCTTCTTTGTGGCCTCTGTGAATCATACATATGGGCAACTAGCTAGCTTACCTTGTGAAGGACAGAGGGGTGCTATTGTCACTGCAGGACAGAGGAGAGGACTGCTCTGCTGAAGGTGCAGTATGCCCTGACATGAATACCCAGTCCGTAGTGTTGGCTGCATGTTGAGAGTATAGCCCATTTAGCTGCTCTGCAGACATCCTGCAAGGGGATCCTGGCAAGTGGATGTGGCCAGTGCTCATATGGAGTGGGCCCTGGGCCTTGTGGTGAGTTGAAGGCCTGACATCTTGTACTTGAGGCAGATGGTGCTGGAGACCCACTTGGACAGTCTTTGTAAACAGAGCAGGTCTCCTTTTTTCTTGTTGCCATAGCAGGCAGCCAGGGTGAGGGGCAGAAAGGTTCAATGTGGCAATAGGGCACTCTCTCAGCTCAGGGGAACAGAACAGGTGGCAGGGGCCTGATGGTTGGGGTTGATGGTTGATCGGGCCTTATGTTTGGGTATAGCCATGGCAACCATCCTTTTTGGGCTCCTCTTTGTCTTTTGTGCCACATGGTGGCCCACAGAGGTGGACAGGCAGTCCTGTCCATTCTTGGAGGCCTCCACCACCTGCAGGGCCTTTTTTCCATAACTCAGCCTTAAACCAAACTGCCTGATCTTTTCACATTTGTTTTGTGAAGGCCTAGCAGTGTGCCCAGGTCTCCACAACATGTTTCTCACCCAGGCAGATAAGGCAAAGGGAGCGTCCACCAGATGGGGGAAAACTGCTATCACAGAAGGCACAGATCTGAAGAGCTGCCACCACCATCGTGCAGATGGGAGAGAAGTCAGAAAGAAAGGGAAGGAGGCAAGAGATCATGGATAATTCAGGAAGGAGCAGTGGATAGTAAAATGGGTAGAAAATACTATTTTTGGTAAGTTTTTATTTTTTATTTTAGAAAAGAGTGGGAAAATGTGTTTTTGAAAAGAGTGACAGGAGATATATCTTGGATAAGGGAAGAGAAGGCAGTAAGAAAAAGTACTTAAAATACCTGAAGGAGAGAGAGTGAAGCAATTCCTAATCTAGCCATGATTGCAGTAAAAAAAAAAAAAAAAGAACAGAGGAGATAGGCAGGAGTTTCTCCCCAGGCTTCCTGGGAACAAGCAGCAGAGGAGGGCCTTCCACCTGAACTGAATACTTAGCTATAGAAGCTTCCAGACAATAGGGGCAAAGCCCATGTGTGTGATGCACAGAGACCACAAAAAAGAACTAGTTGTTCTTTCCACTTTGCTGCTACAGAGCAGGAGCAGCAGGTGGAACATAGAATTCCTGTTTTTTTTCCTTGCTCATTCTTTCTCCTTCTCCACCTACATATGAAATCCTCGCAAGTCAACATACATAATCTAAGAAAAGTAATTTTCCTAGGCCATCAGACTTCCCAAGATCCCTATGCACATAGCTGCAGCAGTGTTTCACACAGTGAGAATGAAGGAGAGGAAAGCATCAAGAAGGAAAGAAGCCAATAGAGCTACCACATAAAGAAAGTTGGAAGTTCATGAGCCGAATTTTCAGAGAGGCTTCAATTACATGCTTCATTTTGAACTTTGGAATTCTTTTTCTGAGCACTTCCACTTTTGCTGTAATGCTGGAGCCAATCCAAGTAGAATTCAGGGCTGTTTACTCATTTCTAAAAGCAATGAGAGGTTAATGCACCTGTCCTTCATAAAAGTCCAGTCTGTTCAACCTTTCCAAGGTTGAGCAGGGGGAGGATGACCAAAGTGGACCAAGTGCCCTCATATCTTGTTTGTAAGCTTTCAGCAGTATCTTTCTGGCCACTGTTGGAAAGAGAATTCTAGGTGTGATGGATCTACGATCTGATCCAGAAGGTATTTCTGTTCTCATGGCATGTTGTTGTTCATTCAGTAACAATGATCCTTTTCATTTTGCAGAACAGTGAAATGCTTTAAAACTGAAACTGGTCAGAAAACCTTTATGACAATGCAATATTGATTTCCCCATCCACTTAACTTCTCTTGGAGATATTTAAATTTAACTCCAAGTTTCATAAAGGACATTTAAGCAAGCTTAAAATATGATTTCCTAAATGATTACTTAAGTGTACTACACTTTCAGCAATGATTTTCCAAATTAGTTAAGTGATGCAGTGATATTAAAAGACCACTACAAAAAAATATTGTTACAGGAGTCATTTCACATTATCATCTTTCATTTTATCCACCCTCTTTTATCCATCATTTGCATTGCACAGAAAATAAAGCATACTCTGCTGGTTACTACAAGACAGTAATTTCATAAAGGGTTCTTATAGTGCCTGACAGCAGGAGACAAGCTTGAATGGTTTATTAAGTCATAGAAGCCAGACCACTGAATTCACAGAGGTAAATTCAGTTTCTTTGGAGCCTAGTTTCAGGGTTTTCAACAGAGACCATTAATTTCACTAAATTGTGTTAAATTACATATTGTAGGCTTGTAAAGACAACCTGAATGAACACAGCCTTTAAGAACCAAAACAACTAATTTCCTTTGGCATGTTGAGCCAAGCTGAGATGGAAGTCACTTAGAAGGAAAGCAGTTCTAATTTTTTACAGTCTAAGTTATAACATTCAGTGTACCCCTCTGCTTGAAGAACATAAATATGAACAGACCTGTTGCTCAGACTGAGAAGTATTTGAAGGGGAATTTCTTCCAGCATCTGCATCATCAACTTCTTCATCAGAAATCTTGAACTCAAGGTCTTCTGTATAGCGTTTCCTCTTCACCTGTCTGCTCGAACGCCTCTTCTGCAAAATAAAATGTTAATCTTTTGTGTAAGTTTCCATTCTGCTGATTAACACTGGTACAGTCCTCAGAAGAAAAGACCATTCCCCCTCTGAAAGTAAGGCAGACGCAAGGATATTTAAAAAAAAAAAAACCTTGTCACGTAAGAAGGTGCTGTACCTTTTGTTCTGAATGGAAAATAATTCTGCTTCTCATTATACAATATAATTAAAAACCTGTTAGTAAACCATATCAGTGTAGAGAAAATCCATGTGAGATGCTACACTAAGACTAGGAAGAGCCACAACACTCTTTAGAGAGTCCTACATATTGATCCTAGAGAAGAATAGAAATTATGGGCCCCCAGGCTAGAACCTGTCCATGGAACTTTCTCATCTTGATGTTAAAATGAGCCAGTTATTTAACCTGTAGGGTTGAAGAAGCAAAAAGAAAGAAAGAAAGAAAGAAAGAAAGAAAGAAAGAAAGAAAGAAAAGATAATCACTGCAGTAACATGATGTGCTGAACTAGATGGAACATAAAACTACTTTGTGGAGGAAAGAACAGCCTGAGCACAGGATGGCCTAATCTCTGAGGAGTATCAAGAATGAGTGGCCATGTCAAAGAATGAGAGTATGCTTGTTCTGTGAGCCGAGCTACAAGTATCAAAAAAGAAGGCCAAGTTCAAAGTGAGGAGGTTTACTGTTCCAAGGTTTACTGTTGCCATTGGTTCAAATGGTTTTAACCATTACTTGCACCAAGACTACAGATAAGCTTCATGCTGGAACCCAGGAAGTAATCAGTAGATTAGACTGGAGGCCTTTCTTTTTAACTGTCTGCAACAACTTGCTTTATCCTATTATTTGTTTCCAGTGCATTGAAAGCTTTTGAAATAACATTTCACGTTGACTGACATGTTCAGCTTGTTCTTGTCATGACGACTGTCTGCAAATCCTGAGTGAATCAGATTGGGCTAAAAGTGTGACTGCTTGGGAGCTGGGCAAGGATTTTTCTTTGACTGCAGGATGTTTTAACCTGAACCCACTTACTATATATGTAAGTAGGTGTGTCCCCTTTTGGATGCACACTTTAATGTGATGCGGGGGTATGAGAATGTCAGAGAAGCCCAGAGTAATGCCACCAGGAGGCCAGACTACTGTCTCATTAGGCTGGTCTCTTAGCAGGGTCATGCAAAGAGGAATGGTCAAAACAGAGATACCATACTGGGAGATATCAACCTGCTTTTGGGGCAATGGCTACATCAGCAGAAGAGACTGAATATTTGTAATGGTGATGGGGCAGAAAAACTTCTGATGAACAGCTACTGGGCAGCAGCAGTAGTTGCAGGCAAGATGAGATTCCAAGTCACAAGATACTCAACCAGCTACCTGGGAAGAGCAAAGGATAAGTATGAATAACAGTGTTATTATGGATGCAACTAGATCAGAGTTGAAAAGAAGTTTAGTGGCTGACATGTAGAGAGGTGAAAGTCCAATGCTGCACAACACATACAAATGGAACAAACAGATAAAATTAAAACACTGGACATGAGAAGCATGAATCAAGCCAACTGGAAACCATAAAGCAATAAATGGAACCATTAAAAATCTCTCTTCTTGATGTGATCCAACTAAAATGGACTGGAATGGGACATTTTTAGTCAGCACGGCAGATTTTTTTCTCCTACGGAAATGACGAACTCAGAAAAATGGAATTGTTTGAATTCTGAGGCAAGACACAGCACAGGCAGCAAGGGGCTATAATGCAAAGTCTGACCAAATCATATCAATTAGAATTCATGGAAAACCTATCAATGTAACCACTGTTTAAGTCTATGCTCCAACCATAAATGTTGAAAAAATAGAATAGTTTATGCAGGTGTTCAAGAAGAAATTGGTACACTCAGAACAAAGCATGCTGACTGGAACATAAAAGTAGGAGGCAAAGTAGAATCAAATGTTGTAAGACACTGTGAAACCAACAATCTGTTTATCAAAATATAACTTAAATAATATTCCTGAGTCCAGATAAAGAACAGATTTGCATTAATGAACACAGGTGACCATGAGCCAGAAAAACTGTGGACTGAAAGCAGTGATACTAGTAGGAGAGAATGCAAAAAGACCAAAACAAGCAAACAAATAAAATCCTGTAGCAACAGGAAAGAAAACGTCCAGACAGAAGAAACACTCACAAATGTTAAGAAAGGGCAAGAATCAAAACCACAAGGTGACAAAAATAGGGTCAAAATCCTGAATGAAACTTTTCAGCAACTACCATGTAGAGACAAAAACTACTACAGAAACCAGTGTAAAGAAACAAAAAAGAACAAGAGAAGAGGAAAAACAAGAGATCTCTTCCAGAAGATCCAAAAAATCAAAGCAAAATTGAAACCTAGATTAGAAATGCTAAAAGATAAACAGGGGAACATACTATCTGACTAAGATAGAATGAGGAGAAGGTGGAAAGGATATACAGGAGAGATTTAAAATGACAGACTCCTTCATAGAGGAATCTTATGAGTACAGCAACCATAGAACCATGCAGGCAAAGTGATGTTCAAGGTGTGGAAACAAATAACATTATCCCATATGGAAAGAGAAATGCCTGATTTTCAAGCTGGATACTGAAAGGGAATAAGCACTCAAGATCACAAATATATATCGGTTACTAGAGCATACCAAAGCATTTCAGGAAAAGATCAACCTACGCTTTCCCTGGGTTATGAACATCTGAGTTACAAACAGCCCATGCTTATGAAATTGATTATAACCCATAAAGTTGATTAAATTTAAATATTTGCATTAAAGCCCTACTGCAGGAAATCATCATCACCATAGGAGGAGGGAGGAAGTAGAAGAGGAGAGAAGAAGGGCTTCCAAGGCAGGTCTTCCTGCCCCACCCACCTCAAGAGGAAAATCTCTCCACCATTTCCTGTTGCAAAGAGGAAACACTGGTGAGGTTGGGGTGGAGGCTAGAGATATTATGAGTTTTCTACCTTCATGGGGGTCCTATGCCCCTAAGACCTGCAAATGTGGAAGGCAGAATATATGTGATCTGACTTGCATACAAATTCAACTTAAGATGAATTTCCATTTTCTCAGGAATGGAACTCATACATAATCCAGGATTGCCTCTAATGTGTGGATGACCAGAGGCTATAGATCAGGGGTGGGCAATTAATTTTCCTATGGGGCCACATGAGAAACTTTGACAGTTGTTAAGGGCCGGACCAATAAACTTACAGCTCTGCTCAATATATATCTCTATAAAAGCAGTAAATGAAACATTACAATGATACAATGAAAATGTGGAGCACAGAACAACACTATTTAATGAATATTCACAAAAACATTAACATTAACATTACACGAAAAGCAATAAATTCAATTTAGCAGATCCTTCAAAATAAAAGCAGTGCAGTTGTATTGCTTGCATCTATATTACAACAATATATATTTGCATTGACTTTTAATTTGCCAGTGACCTCATGCGGGCCAGTCAGGGTCAGCCAACAGGCCGGATGTAGCCCGCGGGCCATACAGTGCCCAGGTCTGCTATAGATGGTCCTGAAATAAATGGATGTTTCTCAGCACATGATCATCCTGATATTTTGGACAAGAAACTACTATTATAACACAATATGGAGTAAAGGGTTTCCTATAGGCAAAGGTATCAGACAAACAGATTTAATCTCCTTATCTCCCTAACTGTACCCTGAATACAGCATAAGGAAAACTGGATTAGGATGAAAGGAAGGTGTGAAAATTGGTGGAAGACACATCAATACTTTATGCAGATGATGGCATAAAGCAGAAATGAATTGAAATGACTTCTGAGGAAAGTGAGAGAAGAAAATGTGAAAACAGTATTGTGTTTGAACTTTAAGAACACAAAAATAATGACTACAGAAGAATTACACAACTTTAATGTCAACAATGAAGAAATTGAAACTGTGAAAGTTTTTACAAACCTTGACACATTCATCAATTCAAAGTGCAGTCAAGAAATTGAAAGAGGACTGAGACTTGGAAAGGCAGCAATGAAGGAACTTGAAAAGATAATAAAGTGTAAGGACATTTCATGGGACACCAACATAGAAACAAAGTGAGTCAGAAGGGGCCATCTAGTCTTGACACCTGACTCTCCACATGTAATCCCCAACATGTTGTTGTCCAATCATTCCTCAAAGACCCTCACTGATGGGGCCTCACCCACCTTCCTTGGAAGCCTATTCCATATCCTAGGAGTCCTAACTGTCAGGAAGTACTTCCTGACATCCAACCTGAAGCCTGGTTCCTTGAGCTACGCCCCATTGAAAAGCACTCTGCCCTCCACTGCAGGGAAAAAACAGGTCACCGTCCTCCTCCACATGTCATCCCCTCACATACCTAAAAGTCGCTAAAATATCCCCTCAGATTCTCCTTTTCTCCAGGCTGAAAAGACCCAGTTCCTTCAACCTCTTCATATGTCCTCCCTCCCAACTTGGCTACCATCATTGTGACCCTGAGCTGAACCAATTCTATGCTTCTTCTATAATGTGGAGCCCAGAAATGGATGCAGTACTCCAGTTGTGGGTGCACCAGAGTCGTGTAGAGTGATATCAACACCTACCCAGATCTGAAAGCCATGCTTGTGGCATGTTCAGCCCGCTGTTGACAAGTACCCCAAGATGTCTTTCACAAGTGCTGCTCTCAAACCCCTTGCCGCAGTGTGTCATTCTATCTGTGACACCTATTCCTGTGTTCCAAGTGCAAGACTTTGCACTTATTCACACTGAATGTCATCCTGTTATTCCCCCATTCACTTCCACAGTCTGTCCAAATGCTTCTGGATCAACTGCTCCTCAGTTGTGGCCACCACCCCCACTTTGGTATCATCTGCAAATTTAAGGGATACTAGTCAGCAGACTGGTTATCCCCTCCTCCAGATCACTGATTAAATGGTCAAACAAAATCAGTCCCAGAACTGAGCCCTCAGGGACTCTGCTTTTCACCGGCTGCCATCCTGATGATTCCCCACTGG